GCGAGAAGGGTAAATGCTAGGGTTTTAAAGCTATTAATACTCTCTCTTAGACGATCAATTGACGAAACTGCCCCCTCATGGTTTGGGACCAAATTGGTAAAAAAAAAAAAAAAAAAAAAAAAAAAAAAAAAAAAAAAAAAAAAAAAAAAAAAAAAAAAAAAAAAAAAAAAAAAAAAAAAAAAAAAAAAAAAAAAACACATTTATTTATCTTTTACACAATTTTGTAAGTTTTGTAGTTTTCCGATTTTAAAACGCACATATTTTCATCTTTGCTCACCGTTTTAAAGCGTGTTTGTTAGGACTTTGGCTCGTTACATATCGTCGTCAACCTCATGATTTTAAAACGTGTCTGTTATGAGAAAAACGTGTCTGTTATGAGAGGTTTTCACACATTTGTAATGAGTCAAGAAGTTCATGAAATTGAAAATGACCATATGACCAAACTCAGTTTTGCCAAACCATATTTTCATTTGGAAAAATTCAAAAAAAAAGTTTGAAGAGTGTAATAGTCCAAGCTCACAACGGGCAGGTATTGTCTCTTTTGACCTATTACATAACGGCACGATTTTAAAACGTGTCTACTGGAGAGAGATTTACACATATTTGTAAACATTGTTCAGTCTCCTATCTGTTATAGACTCGTATGTGAAGAAATTATAGTTGCAACCTACTATGTCATGTTCGTTTTCATTACACGTGAAATGGTACATCTAATGGCAAAAATCTGTCTGCATCTACGAGTTAAGTATGGATTTAAAAGTACATCCATTAGTATGAAGGATCATTAACCAAAGCTTTACTAACAACAAGATTCAGAAGAAAAACGAAGCAACCAAAATACAAACTGTGATAAACGAATGTATGATAAACATTCGAGCAATTCATGAGGCAGAACAAACAACAGCCACAAATTCATGGGTTTAGGAAGATGGTAAGATTTACAGGGTTTAACCAGCAGCATTCAAGCGAAGTTAAAATGGAAAAGAACAATCATTTGTATTATTCGACACTTGCTAGAAAATGTTTATACGAAAAAACCATGGAAGAACAAAAGCTATTACCAGACATGCCATCAAGAAGTTACAGAATGGCTGTCCCCTCCAACATCTCCCACCCCTGTTTGATATGTTTCCATTGCTATCTACTGATCTTCCCTCGTTCCACTCTTCCATAAATCTGTTGTCTCCGACTCCTTCGACGTTCTTCGCGGTCTCGCCACAAATTTCGCACATTCTGTGCCAAGCAATAAGCATTGTGATTAGATAACCATCAGCTCATTTGACAATATGAAAGACAATGTAGTTTAAAAGCAGGAGTTTCCAATCGGCATGCCGTAGTTTTGGCACTTTGTAACTGAAATGCCAAAAGCTCTGAAACAGGAACGTATCCTTGAATATATCACAAACACAATCAGCCATCAAATATCATTCTCAACTCAAGAGTTAGTATTCAACTTAAGAGGTCGAAGGAGGACAACCCAAGTTTTAAGTTTCGACCAACTGTATCAGTAACCGATATTGAACTCTTTGAGTTTTTCCTTTCAGGTTTTTCCTCTAAGTTTTTAAAATGTGTCGGCTAGGGAGAGGTTTCCACATACTTATAAAGAATGTTTTGTTTCTCTTTCCAACAAATGTGAGATCTCACAATTCACTCCCCTTTGAGCTCACATCCTTGCTGACTCTTGTTCCTCTCTCCAACTGATGTGGGATATCACAATTCATATTCATCCCACTTTGGGGCCAGCATCCTCACTGACACTCATTATTCTCTCCGATTGATGTGAAATCTACAATTCACCCTTTTCGGGGCCTAGCGTTCTCGCTGACATACTGTCCAGTGTTCACTCCCTTTGACACTCCATATCTTACTCGCACTCGTTCCTCTCTCACAATCAACAATCAATTGATCAACAGCGGATACTTCCCCAAAAAAACAGTTAAAGTTCGTCAAGTCTACAACGAACGACTGAATGGAAACCCTCACGGGTAGACTACTTGGTATTTCACAACCAAGTAGGTGTAGCAGCGATGGCTTTAAATTGATAGTATGAGACAACTTCAAGGGTAGACTAAGTTTTTTCTCGTGTTCATAGCAATTTAATCTCCTCAAAGAAAAAGGCATATCACTTGGTATTAAACCAGAAGAGAGAGAGAGAGAAGAACCTGTTTCCTTTGAGCTTGAACCATGCCTCAGCACAGTGAGTATGCGCAATTCCCAGCTCATCTTTGCAGTCACAGCCAAGTTGAATCAATTCTGAAGTACTGATCCCAGTCTTAGGCTCTGAAGCTTGGTCGGAAGCCAAATGGCAGATCCTACACACCCTTTCTCCATTCCACTCTTCGTTAAACCTTTTACCCCCTTTTTGCCTTACATTTATCAACACCGGATTCTCCTTATTCGATTTTACATTCCTCTTTTCGAAATCCTTCCTAAACCCCATTCCATTCTTCTTCTCAATCGATTCTCCATCTTCAACCCCACATGCTGTTCTATCTGAATCAATAACCACTACAGTTTCTGATGGGTTCATATTCGAACCCTCTCTTGTCTCTCGATTAACCAGTTCAGTCGCCGGCGTGCCGCCAGCAGAGGCGGCGCCTTCTGGGATTACCACAATGGTGGCCTCGATCCTATCGCCACTAACCAAATCAACAATGGGTTTAGGACCCTCTGTTTCTTCTCGATCCATCTAACAAAAGGGTTTTCCCCCGAAACCCAGTTACCGGCAGAAGTTGTTCTGAAATATTTCGTTCACAAAATTAATAACTCAACACAGCATCAGAAGGCATCACTTTCACTTTCCATCTAACCAATCGATACGTAATGAAAAATGCATACGAAAATCCAAGTGGGTAATCAATCATGTAAAGGAAGAAAGATATGAAGGCCTTGTTGCTGAGGAGAGTGGAGAGTTTACTTTTAAATGCAGAAATTTCTTCAGGGGAAAGCGTTTACTTCAGGAATTGAAAATGAACAAAATAAGAGCTCTGGCCATCTGGGTCGTCTCCAATTGGATTCCTCCACAGCTGAAAGACCCTATTTCCCCTTCCCTCTCTCTATCCCTTTCCGGCACTGATCTCTCGATGTGACCTTAAAAAACTAGAGGAGAAAAAATCAATATTCCGAGGGGAAAAGTGTGCAACCGAGGGGAGTTGAATACGCGACAATTTGAGTTAAAACAAAAAGGAAGAAAAAATATATCCAACATTTTTATTTGTTAAGCTTCAATTTGTCCTCGGACTTCACTCCACGCCTTGTCGTTATTCATGTCTCTCAGCTCCTCCATGTCCCAGTTGGATGCATTCAAAGTAATTCAAATTTTAATTCTTTTCATGCAATGAACCAAAAAGTAATTGGTACAATTGAAGATCAAGTAAAGAAGATGTTCTCTAACAATATTATATTCAAACTCTTCCTTCTTTTCTCTTTTCTTTTTGTAATGTAATATTCTCGAATATTGACATTAATCTTTTATGGGTCTTGAAAACCATGTTATTTATCAAAGCTTAACACATTAAAGCACAATACTTTACCACCACCAAGAACAAAAAAGGCAAAAAAAGAGTATGAGAGGGCATATACATATTTCTGGGAAGCCAAGATAAGGTAAAGAAATCAATCAAAGAACAAACTATGAATCATTATTTAAATTCCGAAGCTTTGATTTGACACTTTAAACTTGTTTTCGTTACAGAAGGCATTGGAATAAACAAATAGAGATTACCATATTCAATTTGGACAGCTTCCAACATTAGTTGAATTTAAAAAGTTGAAGATAATCTGGAAAAAAGAACACAAGTTGGGCACTTGCTTTATCTATACACAAAACTTTGTGCTACCTGCACCAATTGGAACCCTTTTATCTCACTTTTATATACATTTTTTTTTTCTCTGGTCTTCCCCTTCCTTAAGGCCCATCTCCATCTGTTAAATCCCTGCCCATGACTCTTTCCCCCACCTAGCACTCAACGTACCCTTCTACTTACCTCATCATCCACAAACAATTTGAAAAGCCTATTGCACAGATTCTCTAGGGATACAATCCAATTAATATAAGTTTGTTCCACAGCATATTTGTTACTTTTTTGGGTCATAAATATCGTTCTTTTTTGTAGTTATAATTAAGAAGTTAAAGATTTGAAGAGAGAATAGTGATATGGAATTAAAAAATGGAGATAGGACCGAGTTTAAATGCTCATCCTTGACATTGACATTCATATACATTATGCCTAATTATTAGAGGAAGCTCCAATAAGAGGAGAGTTGAATGCAAATGAACCAGAATGATTAAGAAGGGAAGTGGGGAATTAGAGTTGTCACAAGTCAGAAGACAGCGTGACTTCCAAATAACAAAACTAATGGCAGGCAAAGAAAGAAGGTATTAGGCTAATCCCATGTCTTATTTTGCTTCCTTGAGGGAAGAGATGAAACAATCTTCTTCTCAACATGATTTACAGCCATGCTTGGATAAAGCCTTCTTCTTCTTCATGTTCATCATCACGTTTCCTCTTCATACTTTGTTTTGTCCCCCAAATACTGAAAACCTCAGACCTCAAAATCTGCTAATATATCTAATACGAAACATTCTATGGTATGGATATGGTATGGAAACCTTTATATGATAGACACGTTTTAAAAATTATGAGGAGAAGTCCAAAAGAAAAAACTCAAAGATATCTATTAGCGGTGGGTTTGGGTTGTTATAAATGATATCAAAATCAAACATCAAGTAGTGTGCCAGCGAGAACACTGGGTCCAAAGGGGATAGATTGTGAGACCCCACATATATAAACGAGTGCAAGCGAGAATGTTGGACCCCGTAAGAGGGTAGATTGTAAGATCGCACATTGATTGGAGAGGGGAACGAAACATTTTTTATAAGAGTGGACATCTCTCTCTAGCAAACACGTTTTAAAAGTCTCGAAGGAAAGCAAAAAAATAATAATAATAATAAGTTGTTACATCTGATCACCCTTGGCGTTGAACAGTACCTCTTATCGTTTCATTTCACCATTTAAAGCTAATTCTTCATTGATATTGGGGAACTTTTTCATATGACTGAATGTCGTTTTCTTTCACGAATCCTACGATACAAAATAAATTCAGTGACATCAGTCATCACGAGGGTCCGCCGTTAGCTTTCTGGATTTGGTGATGGACGTAAATGCTTTCCATCTCTTGTGAGATGCAAAACTGATTATGTTTTGATGAACTATTTGCTTTCAACGGGGTCCTGAAAGCTCCATGGCTTCGATGACAAATGAAGACTCTTCATGAATATCACAGTACTTTGTGGAGAAACTGTGAGCTCTATTCTCATAAACACTTCCTGCTCCACCTGGTGATTCCTCCATTTGACTCGACTGTCCAACCAGACCTTCTACAACCTTCAAGATCTCGGACATCTTCGGTCTGAGTTGTGGATGTGACTGAGTACACTGCAGAGCCAACTCTACAGCTTTTTCCAGCTCCATTGCATCATAACATCCTTTTAGATCCCTGTCAACCAGCACATCTAGCCTCTTCTCCTCATGTAATGTTCTAACCTGCTCATTTCACTTTTTTTTTTTTGTCAGATATCATTATGAAGTTGAGATTAAAAAAGAAGACTCTTCATGAAATTATAAAAGCATGTGTTTATGATTTCACATCGGTTGGAGAGTGAATGAAACACTTTTATAAGGGTATGTAAACATCTCCCTAGGAGACGCGTTTTAAAAACATTGAGAGGAAGCCCGACAGAGAAAGCCCAAAAAGGACAATATCTACTAGTGGTGGGCTTAGGCTATTACAAATGGTATCAGAGCTAGACACCGAGCTGTGTACCAGCAGGACGCTAGATCCCGAAGAGGGTGAATTGGGGGGGTCCTACATCGATTGAAGAAGAGGAACAAGTGCCAGCGAGAACGCTGGGCCCTGAAGGGGGTGGATTGTGAGATCCCACTTTTGATTGAGGAGGAGAATAAAACATTCTTTATAAGAATGTGAAAACCTTTCCCTAGCAGACGTGTTTTAAAAACCTTGAAGGAAAGTCCAACGAGGACAATATCTAGTAGGAGTGGGCTTAAGCTGTTACAAATAATCAAACAACTCATAACAGGAGAGACCCTACATACCCATTCGAGGATCATTCCCTTTCGAACTTGGCCATTGCCAGCATCTAGTGCTTTTTGGCCTGTTAAGAGTTCCAGAACCAATATGCCAAATCCAAAAACATCCGTCTTTTCTGAAGATTGTCCAGTTGAAAGATATTCCGGGGCAATATGTCCCACAGTGCCCCTAACAGCAGTAGTAACATGTGAATCTCTCCTATCTAACATCTTTGCCAGACCAAAATCCCCCACCACCGCTTCAAAGCTTTCATCTAGAAGAATATTTGCAGCTTTCACATCCCGGTGAATAATTTTTGGGTTACACTGCTCATGCAAGTATACAAGTCCACGAGCTGCACCAAGGGCAATGCACAATCTTCTGTTCCAATTCAATGTTGGCTTTTCCTGGCCTGCATCTGAAAGTGAATGGTATATAAACAACCAAAATATAGCAGTAAATACAAATAAAGAAGCACTATTCAATCTAGTTTGTCCAAAGCAGATTATCAAGGATCCGAGCAAGAATCAGATTATACGTATGTCATCGTCATTTGTTAAAACAAACCTCTCAGGCGGTCAGCAACGCTTCCATTTGGCATATATGGATAAACGAGCAATCTCTCATCTGGCGTCATACAAAAGCCATACAAACGCAAGAGGTTGCGGTGCACGGCTAAGCCAATCAGTTCAACTTCTGTTTGAAACTGCACTTCTCCAGTATAATTTGGATCTCTCAGTCTCTTGACAGCAACATATGTCCCATTTGGAAGATAACCTTTATAAACTACTCCAAAACCACCCTGTCCCAGGATGTTTTGGGGACTAAAATTACATGTTGCCTTTTGTAGTTCACGGAATGTAAACCTTTTCAGATGACCTATATCAAATTCATAATCTTGCTGCACTGCAGATATGAACCATCATAATGAAGTGCAGCAGAGTCAATCATTATACTCTGACTATAAGAGAGAATAAAGAAGAAAAAAGTACAAGGGCATCGGTTCATCCCAAAGTTCAGAAAGTACCGTAGGACGTGAAGACAAGATGAGATCTATAACAATGCACCCAGCCAACAAGTAACACAACAGAAACCACAAATGTGAAACTGACAATTAGAGCTATGGAAAGGATCAAGTGATGTCGGCCATTATCTTTCTGAGGCGAACCAGTTTCTGAACGATAACAGCTATTCATGAGTTTTATATCATTGAGATTCAAGACACAGCGACCAGGGAGAATATAGTATTACCATTAACTGGTTTTGAAACTATTCCACAAACTTTAGACGATGAAGATGCACAAAGGAAGCTATTCCCTGCAACACTACAGAAACAAGGCAAGCACTGTCAAAAGGTGGTAAATGGCATTGGAGGAAAACATAATTCCCTCTCTTTACAAACCATTCTCAGATATAGGCTAATTCTGATCTTCATAAGTAACCGATGGAATTTGGAATGATATCAAGTTTTCTGACAAGTTAACTCGACATGAAGTCTCACCTGTACTCTTTGGCAAGTATTCTTGGAGTTGGGCCGCTGAGATTATTATTGGATAGATCCCTAGCGAGCAAAACATCTGGTCACTTCTGTGAACTCAGCAAAACACAAGGAATTGCAATAGAATAATACTTACAAGAAGGAAAGGCCTGAAATATTTGCAACAGATTCCGGAATTGGTCCACTTAACTTGTTACTGCTGAGCTTCCTGAAAACTTGGCAGGCAAAGGTTACATGACAACAATAGAATCAATAATTAGAAAGTAGAAGAGAATGAAAGAAAGAAAAATCTTTGCATATCAAGTCATACTTACAAGTAATTTAAACGAGTGAGAGACCCCAAAGAACTTGGAATGCTGCCTACAAACTGGTTGTTAGAAAGGTCAAGAGTCTGAAGCTCTGAAAGTTCTCCTATATCATCTGGGATTGGACCAGATAATTCATTATTTTGCAAGAACCTGCGATTATTTATATAGAATACATGAAAAAAAAAAAACTTCCAAAGAAGTGAGATAAACCTTGAATGAGAAACATTCCAACATTAGGCTATCCAAGTAATGGGACAAGAACAGATGAGTAAGAACAACCACTGAATTTTCACTTCAGAAAACAATAGTAGACGTCTAACAAATGATTTCGAGACAATGAAGGGAGAGGGAGGCTCACTGCTCACATTGTCCGAAGGTAACTCAGGTTCCCAATGCTAGGGGAAAGCGTTCCAGATAAGCCCATATTTGACATCTCACTGTATAGCAACAAGAACAATAATCAGTAACATATTTGAGCTTTATCTGACATTTATTCCTACAAATATATTCAAATCATACACTATGAAGAAGAAAAAAAGATGCTCTTATGTTCATTGTTCATCGCTTTTTTTTTGTTTTCCCCTGTGAACCAGATAGAAAACCAGGTTTAAGACAAAATGGAGAAGCTTACAGAGAAATAACAAAGCCCTCAACAGAGCAAGCAACCATATTCCAGGTGCATGGATCAACCGAATTTATGTCCCATCCTTGCATCACTCTCCGCTCGTCCCGTATCCAATTCTTCACTGACATCAACGCCGCCACTGAACAGTGCAAGAAATCAGAGATACAGACACAAACATTCAACCAATTTGGAATAACATCAAATGGGTATTCATAAAATGGCCATGGCCAGACCTTCATAGTTTACTCCTTTCGGAGACAAATGACTGTCAGAGGCAGAGACGACCCAGATGAGGATGAACAGCAATAGGACCACTTTTACAACTTCCATTACCAAGCGGGAGGGAAACGAAAGCGAGAGTTCCCCAAGTGAAAAAAGCTAGAACCCACTACTTTCGGTAGGGTAAACTGCAGGATAATAGGTTTGATTGAATTTTTCGGGTGATAAAGTATAGAGTCCATATCTAATTGCAAATAATGACAAGCTTGAAAAATCTTGATTCTAGAATTTCTACTGGCTAGTGCGTTGAAAACCAAACTAGATTTCTGGTACAAAAAGCGGAGAGAAAAAAACAAAAAGTAGTGGCCGATTAAGAAAATGAACCGCAAGACCAGGAAATCTCGAGATGGGAGTAATTTAATGGCTGAGATTGTCCCCTGCCCTGCCAAACACATTGAACAACAAACCTGATAGTGGAAGACCGTAATTTCTCCATCTTCGCTGTGAACTGCAGATGAGTAAGGCAATAATGAGCCGTTGGATTTCTGACATTAATGGACAGAAAATCAAAAGCTTTGATTATACCAGTTTAGAAATGTAATCGTCATTACTGGAAGTAGGGAACCTCGAATATAAAATTTTCAGAGCTCGATGTCTCTCTGCGCCCCAGTGGCGCCAACATTAATGATTCCGGCTTTTAGAATTTGACGCAATTCTCGGAGATAATGGCCAGTTCACCACCCCCCACTTTTTTTTCTTTTTCTTTTTATTCTCTCGACATTGAAATTTCGTCGTTTTTCCATGTCCGTGTTGGCGTAGCAGTAGCAGCAGGGGCAGCTCCAAGGAGCTCGAGAGGGCAATGACAGGGACAGTGGCCACGAGCCCCCCAATGTTACCATGTCCAAAATAAACAATTACTTTACTTCAAAGTTCAAAGCGACAACTTCTCGTATATTAATCTAACGTGTTGGCTAATAACTTGCTACGTATTATAATTCAGAAATTTTCCATTGAGAACCGTGAAGAACAAAGCTTTTTCTCTCAGTGATTGAGAGCAGACACAGGAAAGAATGAATATGTGAAGAACAAATAGATTCGTGTTCAATTTAAAGAAGGGAAGAGAGATTCTTAGAACACAATAATAACTACAGGTTTTTGCAATTGAAAGTCGGCCATGTTGAAACCACCCTGGAACTGGGAACAAAACTCAATAACCAACTACATTTTAACCCTGCTTTTCTTCAGCCACATATAGAATTAGATACCCGCTTGTTCCTAACTAAAGATACACAATTTGGCCTCTACTACTCTCCCTCTTCTAGCAGCTTTCTGCTAAGTCAAACTCTGGCTTCCTTCAATATACTACCAAACATATACAACAACTTGAGGTATCATCGGAACTAAGATTGAGGGATGGGTGGAATTTGGCTGGCCAGAACAAGGCAACATTTCGAGGAAGAGTTTGGTATATAGTCCCCCCCGACCTGCAAGTCTCAGAGTATAGTGATGTAAATGACCCCAGTTTAATACAGGCGGAGTTGAACTTAGAGTTTGTCAGTAGGCTTTGCACCACGCATGAACAAGAAGAATCCAACTGCACATACGCCTATATTTACGACACTGCTAGATGCAAATTAAGACCCATTTGTCGTTTCACTTGATCAGGTATCAACTTGTTGACGAGCTCTGGAGAAGCCCCCGACAGCTGCAACAGAAATCTCAATTATCAATCACCTGTTTAATGGAATAAAATAGTAATGGACGAGAAACCTAGTAAACTGCTAGTCATCCACAACAATTTATTGATTGGAATAGCATAATTTCAGTTATTTTCAATCGTTATGAATGCAGATGCATAGCACGATGCAGTTGAATTCAATATGGACCTTCATGTACTCCCTAAAACAGGCACAACTAAACCATTTAGAATGTTTTTCTTAATCGCAAATAGAACTATATGCCTTCGATGCTCAAAAGACACATGCAATAAAATGCCTAAATTACAGTTGTATACAAGTCAAGAAAATAGGATAGGAAATTTTCATAGAAAGATGGTGAAATGGTAAACAGACCTCTTGTTTGAAGTTAAAGAGGGGTGGAAATGGACGACCATTTGGGAGGCGGGCATTGGGTTCTCGAAGTTCGGCAAAGAAAGGATGCGTGCAAGCTTCCAGCTGCATGGAGAAAGAGATACTCTCAAGAAGAGAAAAATAAACCATAGTTGCAGAGAAAGCCAAATAAATGTGTAGTTCATACACTAGGACAAAAAATGAACTACTTTTACATTCGGTCAAGAATCAACAAAGATTAAGTTCTAGCATGGAAAGGTCCGACTGTTCAAAAGAAGTGCACAGATGATGTCACATAGCTATATAGACAGACACTGGAGCATATTGAACTTACTGCGGTGCAGCGAAGACTGGGCGAATACTGAAGCAATCGAGAAGCCAGATCTATTGCCTCGGGAGGCATTCGTTTGTGGAAAACCTGATCAATAACATAAAGCATGTAAGAGAAAAATCTCAACTTCCCGTAGAGAAAGCTCAAAAGTAACAAGATCAAGGGAGATATGAGGCCCCAGGATCATCTTGAATTTGTTACTGACCTTGTGCCATGGGTGAGCTTTTATCTGTGGAAACCTATAGTCTGTATAACTTGGATTCATACATCGAATTTCTTCACGAGTTGGTGTACCAAGAACCTAAAAGATAACCATCGCAAAGTAGGTAAGTTGTACACAATTTGGAAATGGTAATGAACTAATAATATCAATAGTACCTTTATGATCTCTACGAGTTGGTCCACTGCATTTTCTCCAGGAAACAAAGGCTACAGAAACATAAATATCATTAAACTGGTTATGATAAAGTTCAAGTCAAAGAAATATTGAAAATGCTTACCTGTCCCAAAAGCAGCTCTGCAAGGACACAACCAGCAGACCAAATATCTATGGAGGTTGTGTACTCTGTAGCTCCAAAGATGAGTTCTGGTGCCCTATAGAAGCGCGAACATATGTATGAAACGTTGGCTTCACCTTTCATCTGGAGCACACGGATAAGAGTACACAGAATAAGAATCAACGCAGAAAAGGGGCCAAGGAAAATATAGCATTTGCTACTTAACCATGGTGATTCACTGCTGGTTTTGTTAATCAAATAGACCGCATGGAAGGATTTGTAAAAGTGATTGTCTACTGTTTATCTAAGAAACAAGTTTCGGAAGCCAATGCCCCAATTCAAAGAATTGATGAACTCTTATGATAAGCAAAAGTCACATATGGACAGGAAACCTACACCCCACACACCCGAGAGATTGCTCCAATTGGTCCTGGTATGTTTGTTTGGAGTTCTCACTTATAAGCATGGAAAAACCTTGCAAGATTTGTAAGTGCAACGTCCAATGTAACAAGGCAGTCTTGAATCTTAAATGACAACAGCAAATATGCTTTCTAAAGGAAAATAGGAACTTTAAACTAACGAAGTAAATAGCAAGTTTCAATGTACACGATGGAAGTGTCAAAAACAAAATAAGTGAAAGAAAAATTTATCAACGTACAAGCATTTTAGCGCTTCCAAAATCGCATATTTTAACTTGGTGAGTAAGGGGATCCACCTGCAGAAAGCAAACAGGCATTAGGGAATTATCAAACACAAGGATAGGCCTCTACAAATTGTTGTTTTCAACAAAAAATTATTTCAACTTCCATATCCACTTTCAAACCATCAAAGAACAATACCAAAATATTTTGAGGCTTCAAATCTCGGTGGCAAACTCCAGGAACCGTGTGGATATAGGCCAGGCCCCTAAAAACCTGGAAAAAAACAACAGTTTCCATGAGAAAAGAAAAGTGTGTTGATCAACAAATTGAAATTATATAGGAGAATTATCTATACCTGGTACATGTATAATTTGACATAGATGATTGGCATCCTTTGATTTGCATTACTGTAATGCTTCAATACCCGAAACATGGTTTCGGGAACATATTCCATAACCAAGTTGAGAAAAAGCTCGTCTTTTGTAGTAGTGGAAAAGAAACAATGCTTTAAGGAAATGACATTTGGATGATCCATCACACGCATTAACTGTAGTTCACGGTTCTTATATCTTCTGTCCTGCAAAACCTTCTTTATAGCCACATTTTCACCCGTTTCCAAGCATTTGGCCTGACAAAGAGGACATGTATGCATCATATATTACTTGATCAAAGACAATATCAAAAGAATCGAAGTGCTAGAGGAGTAAAATTTAGAATACCTTGAAAACAATACCAAATGATCCAGTTCCAACAACACGTTCTGCCATGTAACTTATGGTCTACAGAACCGAGAAAAGACAGAAGTATCATAAGTTTGTGTAGAAACATAAATACTGGCCAACAACATGAAATCTCTAAGTCTCTATGTTTTATAACATACACAAGAGGAAAATAGAATGTAAGAGAAACGGGATTGACGTGAATGTTAACCTGTTTGGGCTCCCCATTCTTGCCTCCAATAGTCGTTGATATTATGTGACCAGTAACTGGGTCATTTCCATCAATGACAGGGGCTGATATTTCCTGCAAAGTATATATTGTGTTACGAGGTTGGAAGGAATCGATTGGAAAATTGAAACTGAAACGTTGGTTGTTTAGAGTGGAGGGATCACGTAAAAGATAACCAATGTTAGAATAGAAACTATGTTTAACTCACTAATAAACAACTATCACAAAGAAGCCCTAACATCCACAGCAAGAGATTTTTTTTCTTTTTTAAATGAATAGAAGAACAAAGAATGGAAAGATCAACAAACAGAGATCCCTAATAAGTGCCAAAAAGAGAGGGGGGTAGGAAAAGAAATCGAAGGAAAGAAGTTGCTGAAACCAAATAAAATAAGAACTGAAATGCATGGACCTGTGGAGGACAATCTTCACTAAAAAATAATTAGAAAATAATTTCAGATAGGCTTGAGCTATATAGCTCGAGCAAGTTATTTAAGATTAATCAAATATCAAACAAAGGGTAACAAATGCGATCCAGAAATTAAATTAGTTCACGTATCATAAAAAAATAAATATATGTACAAGTTTAATCGATGGAGTTAACATAGATGCATCAGCTTAGTTAAACCCAAAAAGATGGCCACAGAAATTAAATAATAAAATCTCGAGTACTGGAAAGAGATCAAGAGCTAAAAATTACACATGATCAGAAGCTCTCAGAAACTGTACAGAAATTGAAGCAAATACAGCCAAGAAACTCTTCAGAAACAGAATCATCTAAATCACAGATCGAGGCAGAGAAGAATAAGTAAGGTATTTCCGATCCTCTTCTCACAATGCGGAACGAGATCACCGTCCTGGCTGCGAACAAAACGCAAGAACAGAACAGGAGAGACGAAACGAGAGGAAGCTGCAACACTTCAGGCAATGTTCTTACGTACACATATTCCCCGACGAATCTCGCAGCGCAACATTCAAATCCAGGAAAGAAAGAAAGAAAGAAAGAAAGAAGAAGAAATTAAAGAAGAAAAGAAAAAAAGATACGTACCTTAACGTCGGCCATAGCCGAATGGGAGAGAAGGAAGGAAAGGGAAGGTAGTGGTTGGTTGAGTTGGCGATTAAAAAGAAGAGGAAGAAAGGGATTGCAGTGATGAGAAGGGAGAAGAAAGAGAAAGGTGACAGAAAAACAAGGCCATGTGATTCCAGCACTCTGTCTTCTTGGTCTCTCTTCTTTGCTTCTTCTTTTTCACTGTATCAGAGAGAGAGAGAGAGGGAGATGACGGAAATAACCTTCTGAATTACGAAGACTGGCTGCCGACGTCTATATGACTAAAATGCCCCCAGCTTCCAATAATTTCTCCACCTGCTGTGTTTCTCCTTCTGTCCTAATTATTGCTCTTTCTAAGTGGACATCATAAAATATCAATTTTGCTGATTCTCTTTCCTTTTTCCTTTTCTTTTATTCATAAATATACATGGGCCCATGTGAAAATCTGTAAATTTCATAATTAATCATAATTTGTTTATTAATTCCCTAAATTAAATTCTATTTTCCAAACGTAATATTATGATTATTGAGCTTAAACCCCAGCCCCTTCACCCTTCTTCCTCACCAACCGCTTGGTCCACAGTTACCCTCTTCTTTAATCATTTCCTTATAATGTAAAGGGATTAATTTTCGTCCCCGCCAGAGTCCACCGTCAATAGATAGGGTCTGTTTTACACTATGAGATAAGAAAAAGAATGGTCGAGTCTAAGCGTGTGAGGTTGGGAAGGAAAGGGGATTTTGGAATTAGGAGCGAGCAGTGGTGGCAGTGGGGCTAAAGTAAGTTTGTGAATTTCAAGGGAAAGCCTTGACCATGCATCAGATAAAAGATTTCACCACATGCCGCCCTTCAAATTCCATCCAAATTCCCTTCCTTTTAAGCACTTTATGGGCGGCTGCAAAAAAGCTTCGCCTCTGGCGTGCTCACTCTCCTAATCTTCTTACTTTCTTCACATCCATCACTTGTACTCAAATCTACTCGTTTGCGCTGGCGCACCCTGTCGCTCAGACCGCCACTTAGGGCACAATCCTCCACTCAACGGCCCACCCAACATCTACACTTGGACGTGTCTGTGGGCGGTAAGGCCCATGAAGAACGAAACCCCAACTCGACCCAACAGGCTAACTTCAAACCCGCCCACCAACATTTTAAGCCTATTTAAGTTCAAGGCATTTTAAATTTAATATGTATTTTAGGAAACCTTATATCTTCCTTATCCAAAGTGCATTCTTTGTAATAAATATGTTGTTTTATTTCGAATTCAGCCAACTAGCATCCATCTGTCGTGGTTTTAAGTCAAGGTGATCAAATTTAAATTCAAAATAACCGACATAATTCCTAACATTGTTGACTTTACTTCTTTAAATACAAGAGCGATATTAAAATTGTCAAAATGTACTTATAATATACATATCCACGTGGCATTCCTATCATTCATCTTATTAATTTGTTGCAACAATAAGCTGATGAGTGGTTATTAATTATTTAATTCAAACTATATTTGTCGCAATCAATTTCTTGATTGAAGAAATACAAGTCAATGCTTGCGTGGAGTTTGCTAGAACATTCCTACTTGGAGGAGACATAGTTAGGTTAATAATGCTACCAACAAAAAATAATTAAAACGGAACTATTCTTCACAATGATACGATATTATCCACTTTACTTTTTGTTTCTTCAACAATGAAAATGTATTTCTTATTTATAAACTGATGACCATCTCTCAGTTAGTCAATATGAGATTTATCTTCCAATAATTATTAACAATTTTCTCCTTGAACAAAATACATCATAAAGTATTTTCTAATGGAAACTTGACTCTTTCTCTTGAGTCCTCAAACAAAATACAAATTTTGTTCGACGTTTGAGTCACTTATTTGAAGATTCTATAGACATGGCTAACCATTTTTATAATTAATATTTTACTATTTTGTAAACTATGGGTGAAATTAATGTCCTAAAAACAGGAGAGGTGCCCCCTGGAGGCGTGGAAAGATCATTTTGTTATCTACTCACGGTCACGTGTCACCGCAGTTTGGCGTAATGAGAAGATTGGGGAGGTGCGTACACATAGCATGCAAACTAATCTTGCGTGTCAACGAATCACACACCGTCCATCAGGCTTACTCACCGCATCCTTTCCACCTTATTCGCTGAGGGAGGGGAGGGCGTTGGCAGGTATGATGCGAGCAGCATTACCAGATTTAAATTGGGCAGGCGTGGGCCACAACGAAACCCTGTCTTGGCCACACAATAACGTTTTACTGTTTCCTCGGCCCAACTCCTATCATTCGGCTGGTTTCAGATTAGATAGAAGCTCCAAAGTTAATTACAGAAACTTTCAATCATTCTCCTCAAACTGCCCGCACCTTTTGAGCCTTCCAAAATCCAACGATTTCTAGCATTGAATCCAGTAATAGTCTTCAAAAACAGATCGCTCCATGTTCGAGATTGAATTTGCAGATCAAATATGGCGTATTCCTAACTATATACCAAGAATTTTTGAGAATATAATACTCCGGACGTGGTGTAACTCGCTTCACAGACACTTTCCAGGAATACGTGGCGATGAAGAGGGCAAAGGAAGCTATAAAATAATGGTATATACCCTTCGATGCCATTGTTAGCCTTCGTGTATTTAAACCCGCCCTCTCCTCCTCTCTCTCTTTATTTCATCTATCTCCCCAAAATTGGAAGAAAAATAAAGCTTATCTTTCACAATCACGCCTCCTCTGAAACCCCAATTACGGCAAAATTCATCCCAAATTTGCTCCCGTATAGTTTAATTGCAGAGAACTAGGCTCCCAATCAACCCCACAATTCTCCTCCCCCGCCGCCTCTGCTGCATTTTCCCCATTTCCCTCAATTCTGTGTTCATCGATGGCCGATCGGCCGGACTCTGACAAGAAGTCCGAAAGCACCAGGAAGGACATGCCGGCTCTTCTTTTGGGGCGGTACGAGATCGGGAAGCTCCTTGGCCATGGCACCTTTGCAAAGGTCTATCATGCCCGAAACATCAAATCCGACGAAGGTGTCGCCATTAAAGTCATCGATAAGGAGAAGATTCTCAAGGGCGGACTAATCGCCCACATCAAGCGCGAGATCTCAATCCTCCGCCGGGTTCGACATCCCAACATTGTGCAACTTTTCGAGGTTATGGCCACCAAGACCAAGATCTACTTCGTTATGGAATACGTCCGTGGCGGCGAGCTCTTCAAGAAGGTCTCCAAGGGCCGATTGAAGGAAGAGGTCGCCCGAAAGTATTTTCAGCAATTAATTTCCGCCGTTTCCTTTTGCCACGCGCGTGGTGTTTACCATCGCGACCTTAAGCCGGAGAATTTATTGCTCGATGAAAATGGGGATCTCAAGGTCTCCGATTTTGGCCTAAGCGCCGTCTCCGATCAAATTCGACAAGATGGGTTGTTTCATACTTTCTGTGGTACACCGGCGTATGTTGCTCCGGAGGTATTGGCCCGCAAAGGGTATGAGGCCGCTAAGGTCGATATTTGGTCATGTGGGGTTATTCTGTTTGTTCTGATGGCAGGCTATTTGCCCTTCCACGACCAAAACATCATGGCAATGTATAAGAAGATATACAAGGGGGAGTTCCGGTGTCCGAGATGGTTCTCGCCGGAGCTAGTTCGACTCCTGTCTCGTCTTTTGGATACAAATCTGGAAACCCGTTTCACAATTCCAGAAATCATGGAGAATCGATGGTTCAAAAAGAGGTATAAGCATATAAAATTCTACATCGAAGATGATAAGGTGTGCAACGTGGAGGACGACACCCAAGATGTGGATTCCTTGTCGGATCAATCTCAATCGGAATCGGATTCCGAATTCATTGAGACGAGAAGAAAGATGGGTTCACTCCCAAGACCGGCGAGTTTGAATGCATTCGATATAATATCATTTTCCCCGGGATTTGATCTTTCCGGGCTGTTCGAGGATGGAGGGGAGGAGGCAAGATTCGTGTCCAGTGCTCCAGTGTCGAAGATTATATCGAAGCTGGAAGATATCGCAAAATTGGTGAGTTTTAGCGTGAGGAAGAAGGACTGCAGGGTTAGCTTAGAGGGCACACGGGAAGGCGTCAAAGGGCCATTGACGATCGCGGCGGAGGTGTTCGAGTTGACGACGAAACTGGTGATGGTGGAGGTGAAGAGGAAAGGGGGCGATAAAACAGAGTACGAAGAGTTCTGTAATAAGGAATTGAAACCGGCATTGTTGAATCTGAAGGAGGAGCCGGGAGCAGGTGCTCCATCACACATACCTTCAGATTCTGAATGAACCAACAACCATGGAGAGATATTCATTCAGACAGATAGAGAGAAAGGGCATGGCTACCTCAAATAATAATTGTTCTTATTGATGTGCGTGAGATAACTCACGCAATCTCTTGGACTATTAGAGCTGCTTATACACACACTAATTCCTTACTTAGGAGGTAGCCTTATGCTCTTCGACATTAATATATATTTGCATCAAATTCAAAATAAAATTCCAAATTCGTATATAGTTTTGAACACATAATTTTAAAATACATGATTACTTGGCTGTATTTTTAATCATCACATATTTCAACACCCAAATAATTATTTCTTGTTTTACTCTTTTCTCTCCCCACTTTAATTAAATACAATTATTAATAATATAGTTTCTATTATTATTATTATTATTATTTTGATTTCAGATTTCTAATTGGTGGTCAATAATAATTACAAAAAAAAAAAAAAACAAATTGGTGGGTTCGCTTGTGTCTATCATTGGATCACTGAACAAAGACTGGTTTGGGGACTTTGGTTTGAGCAGCTTTCTTTTGTTTTCTTTATTAATAAAAATGTTTCGTCACAAAACGTGGCATTCCTAACAGAATAAATAAACACCATGCGACGCAGCCGTATTCCACGGTTGAAACCTCGCCGATTGCGGCAACCGGTGGCTCCTCGCCGTCCTTCCTCAGGTTTGTCTCCAACTCATCCTCCCTACTCTTCTCTTTTGGGATTGTTTCATCTTTTCCAAGCTCTGTTCTTTCTGTCTGTCTTTGTTTCTTTGAAATCTGATATTCTGGATGTTGAAGGGACTGATGAAGTCCCTTCCTCTTCTCTTTGGGTGCTTCATCAGTTTCTCTCACTCGGTTGTTCTGCCTTTCTGAAAACCTGGATTTCTATCTAGGGTTCTGGTTTCAATGCATCCTTCTTTTTTTTTTTTTTTATTCCCGCCACAATGTACCAAAAACCCGCGATCCTTTTTTTATTTTTTATTTTTTCCTCTCTCTATTTAATTTGTTTGTATAATATTCAATTCGAACTGTGACGCTCGTTTTAGTGTAGAAATTTCATGATCTCAAAACGTTCTCTGTAATTTCTGATAGTGATGAGCTTATTTTCGATTTATTGATGGGCAAATGAGAGCTGGGGTTCACATATCCTTTTTACTTCTCGGTCATTTGTGTCTACTCTTGATCGCCATTGAACTTATAATAAAAGTAAAGATATTTTTTTCTAGCGAGAAAATTATTTGGTGTGTTGTGCATTTCTATAATATATCCAATGGCTGCTGCAGAAAGATGGGGAGGTTTGATTACTTACCAAAATGATAGAACTACTCTTTGGATTGATGTATAAACTGAGTATGGAATTTACAGTGTAGTAGTACTATTCTGGGTTGGAGGAGTCTAGAGTCTCTTAAAATTCTCTATCCTTGATTGAAATTCAAATTCCGGTGACAGATAAGGTTCTGACTCTGCTTGAGCGGTCCATTAACAAAAACATCTTGTATACACTCCTGAAAGTATGCCCATAGTTCAAAAATTGTACGATGCTTGCAAGGCATCATTTTCTACCAGTGTTCCGGTGTCAGAAGAGGCTCTGCAGAAGGTCATTACTCTCTTAGGTGTGTGCAAATAAGTAATTCGCTTATTTTCTTGATAAGTCTTTTTCGTACAAAATTTCACTCAATAAGCTGTTTTTTTAGGATGCATCGCGTATCTTTATGAGTTTGTACAATTCTGTTTCAGATGAACTGAAGCCATCTAATGTGGGTCTCGAACGAGAGTCGCAGTTAGCTCGTGGTTGGAAAGGTTCACTGAATGTTACTAATGGGAAGAAAGGTCGAAAGGGCGCACACCAATATCCACCAACTATACAATATCTACACTTGCATGAATGTGATAGATTCTCGGTAAATGATCGCATTGATATGTTAACTTCTGGTTATTCCCCACCCCCTGCTCCATTAGTGCCATCTCTCGAAGGAACTATTTCTCGTTGTGTGCAGATCGGAATCTTTTGCATGCCTCCAGGTTCTATCATTCCACTTCATAATCATCCTGGAATGACTGTATTGAGCAAGCTTCTATATGGTGCATTACATGTACGATCATATGATTGGCTTGATCTGCCTGAGTTCATAGATCTGTCTCAAGGTATTTCTTTCTCATCCATGGAACCCACCTCAAGCTTGATAGAAGCCCAGTTCTAGTTTTTTGTGAGATCAGAAAATTAAGAATTTATTAGTGCTTATGTAATGAATTGTGAAGCAGTGCTATTATTATTGATTTTTTGATTAGAGACAATTTCATTGATAATTGAAATTTACGATGTTTATAAAGGACCTTCCCAATTTACCATGAGTGAATGTATAACTATAGAAGTAGAAATATTAGACGGTTTACACCTAGATATAGCTTGGTAAATAACATTGTCGAAGAATTTTGTATAAGTCTCGTGTCTTTTTTGCAAGTATTCTTTGATTTCTTTCTTTCCAAATATTCCAAAAGAAAGTCATGATGAGGTTTGTCCATAGTAGGGCTTTTGCATTCTTGAAAGTGTGGTACGTTAAGGCCATGTCCAATAGATCTTTTACCTCCCTTGGAAATGTGAGATGTCATTCGAATATATTGGGAATTGTTGTCCAGAAATTCTGAGTGTATATGCATTGCATAAATAAATAGTTTTGTGATTTGTTTTCTTTTTTTTTTTTCTTTTTTTTTTTTGTTTTTGCATAATGGACACCAATTTGGAAATAGAGTTATGTAGGCTATTGTTTTTTTTTAAAGATTTTCACTTGTGCTAATGGCTTTATGCATATTTCTCAAATGAAGAATTTCACCTTTTTTAGGTGATGAACTTTCCATACTGTCTTTCCTAGCGCTATTTCCCAAGTAGTAGCTTGTCTTAGCATTTATAATGCAATTGTACTTTTCAATTCAATACGGTCCTATCTGGCATTATTAGTTCTCTGTTTTGACTGTTTACTTCATTTGTGAAAAGTTGATACTAACGTTTTCCTTTAATCCCCTGGATGACAATGATGCTTTCCTTTCTGAAAACAAACGTTTTTGGAAATGGCAGACGGCAATATCCACCAACTATAAAATATCTACACTTGCATGAATGTCACAGATTTTCAGCTGGCGAGGTTCCTCTAGTCCACGGATCATTGTGGATCTGTTTCTAGAGGCGTTACTTGCTCCTGAAAAGCTACTCTCATGATCATGCAACTATTTTAAAACGAGTGCCCCCATCAATATTAGACTTTGTGTATAGTGAATACTCTCAGGTTCAAAAGAATGGGATCGAGTAGCTTGTAGGTGAAATGTCGGCTGCTGGGCTCATCCTGCTTAGTTGGGGTCTGTTTCCAACAGTCATAATAGTTCAAATGGAGGGTCTGTTTCCAACAGAGTCTTAATAGTTAAAAAGAAGCGTCTATTTCTAACAGTCTTATTAGTTAAAAGGAGCTTATGGCTATTTTGATGGGGGTACAGAAGTGGAGATCTTACCTTTTTTTGGCTAGAACATTCATAATTCATTCCTACGAGAAAAGCTCACATGACTGGTTGTTGCAGTAATTAGTCAGAATGGAACATCAAAGGTGGCTTAGTAATTTTGGTGAGTAAGGATCTATGTGTTGAATGATCTCAAGTTTCAAGAAAGAGCGTAAGAAATCATGAATAGCGATCTGATAATAACATAAGGGGTGTGAAATTGAAGTTGGGAATTTTGGTCTACTTGAAGAACTTTGGTCTACTGAACTTCAATAGAAATCACCGGTAGTTATATGAAAGGAAAAGTTTACTCCTGTTATTACAACCCGAACTGATTACTCAAAAACAGTCGGTAAGGTGTCTTATCACTTGGTTTTTCTCTGCCTTCCACCATGAATATCCACCATGCTTTTCACGTGTCCTAGCAGAAATTGTAAGAAGGATCCACTTTCTGTCTTGTGACCTCAACTCAGGGCTAGCTACCTTCGAGCTTGACACCCTTTAGCAATTCTGGGAGAGTGCATTTCGGCTAAAAGACCCTGATGGAGCTGCAAGTTTTTGTTTAGCGCCAAGGCTAGTTAGTAGAGGAAGTTTAGTGGGAACCTTATATATCATCATAGCACAACGCTTTCCATCTTTTTACCCTGAGGACAAGGTAAAAGCTTGGGCAGGAAGTAATTTTAGGAGACATATCCTCCCATACGTTTTATGTATGGTAGGAGGGAGGCATGAGGTAAAGTGCATAAAGCGAGTTGTTAAAGGGAATATTTGGTGATTTGGGAGGGTGAAGGGTAGCTACTCAGACATCCCGAATATATATCCTTCCATACATTTTATGTATGGTAGAATTTCATGCAATTGTCTGCATTGTTTATCGTAATTGTTTTTGCTCTAAACATCTGCCCTGGGAAGAAAGAAAGAAATTGCTTGAGTTGAATCTTTTCCTCATTCCGTGAATAGCATTTGATGTAGTGATATATTTGAAATGATCCATTTTTGGGACGAATGTGAAACCGTTATTTTTTCCGGGCTTGGTTATTTTGTTCACTTTCCTTTCTTTGAGTAAAAGTTTCAGTATAAAATTTTATTTGAGTTGTATCCTCAGCCAGACCTGCAAAACTAGTTAGGGACTGTGAGATGATTGCACCTTGTGGAACTACAATTCTTTATCCAGATCGAGGTGGCAACATTCATCATTTCAAAGCCATAACTCCCTGCGCAATCTTCGACATTCTTTCACCGCCTTACTCGTCTGCAGATGGGCGACACTGCTCTTATTTCCGGAGGTCACCTAGGCGAGAGATTTCAGGTATCGTTTGTTTCCTCTGGATTTCTTTCTTGCTTCTACTTCTACACTGCTCTTATCTCCGCTCTCTTCCAATTCAAAGGTCTTGACCAACTGTGTGGAACTGAAACCGGTCCCTCAGAAGTTACTTGGTTGGACGAGATTCAGCCACCTGAAAACTTCGTGGTCCGGCGGGGCCTGTACAAAGGCCCCATTATTAGACAATGGAGTTAATACTGTAGAGCATCATTTAGTGGGATTGGCTCGAAAAATCAACGAACCATCCAGTTAAACTACACCAGCGATTCTTAACTGGTTCAATAATTGTATGTTAAGAATACTGAGGAGGGAGTCTTCTTCGATGTAATTGAATTGTATAATTGAAAGTTAAGAAAAAGACTGAATAATAAATGAAAAATGTCTGTGGTAGAAGATTGTAACGCTGGATTTGACTTTGATATCAATCAATTAATGTGATTAAATTTGAATTGCACTCAGCCTAATGCATAATAATAAAGATTGGAGTAGCGGTAGGGTAGGTAGGATTAGGAGTTAACAGTAGCTTGGATGAATAATGATATGCCATCTTTACTGTGAAGGAAGAAGAACAGCTCTATCTATCTGTATCATCTGAAAACAAAACTATATCTTTACATTTATGGTAAAGATTCAATAAAATCCAGATTTAAAAGCCATCCCATTTCATAGGGTACAGTTGCATATCCTTTTCATACCAAACTTGGGAAAACTTCCAGCCTTGTGTACCCAAAATTTTACGGTGAAACAGAGAATGAGGGGCTCTGGTTCTTATCCGGGATTTGAAGTGAAAGCAGAGCATTCAATTCTTTTAGATTCTGTTCTTATTTTTTTCTTCCGGAGATCAACTCTTCCAATTAAAATAAGCTTACTCGGATACAATAACAACCCCCAATTTTAACTTTCTATCTTGCTTATTTGTGTAGTTTTTGTAACAAGAGAGGGTTTGTGTTCATTAAAGATTTGAAATTTCACCGACATTCAACAAGAAATATAGTTGAATAAACGAATAAAGAATGTGAATTAAACTCGACGAAAGCTTTATGTCAATCTTTCTCTTAATAATGAAAAGATTCGAAAATCTCTTACTATTAGACATATTTTAAAAACTTTGGAGAGAAGTCCGGAAGGAAAAGCTCTAAAATGACAATATCTGCTAACGGCTTACCAATAGTACAAATGAATCAGTCAAATGGGAACCATGCTCCTTCTTCACTGAAAGTGAAAAAACTGGAAAATGGAAAATCTCAAAGCATATAAAGAACATAAGAACACAAATAATTTCTTCACTGAAAGTGAAAAAACTGGAAAATCTCAAAGCATATGAAGAACATAAGAACACAAATAATTTCTTCACTGAAAGTGAAAAAAACTGGAAAATGGAAAATCTCAAAGCATATGAAGAACATAAGAACACAAATAATTAGGTGACCAAATAATTCAAACTTAACACACCGTTATTCCTAAGAATAGAATCATTCCAATGTGCTTTATCTGAGTTAAATAAAATCATGAATCAACCAAGCTCTCAGTAATTTCGTAGATCATAGGAATTGACATTCCTTGAACCTGTAAAAGAATAGCAAGTTTTAGGCGTCCACTTTTGAGGTAGATTAGTATCCTAATTAAGCACTCCATTGGAAATTATTCAGCCAATTAACCTACCTATTATGATATATGCCCACAAGCTCTTAAACCCATTATAACTTTGCCACTTTCTAACCAAACAACTTACATGATACACAAATAATAGAAACCAGTAATTAAATAACACCTCCTGATGTTCCACATGAATTTTGATGCATTTTCTCAGCCAAAAAGTAGAACCCACATGCTACCTACAATTCATCTCACAAACCCACGCACTAGCAATTCTCATAGATATATATGTGTGTGTGATAGCATTATGGTACTCACAGAGTAGCATAAATAATGCGAATTTGCAGAATTATGCAAGGAATAGTTGCAGCTTGTTAGTGGGAAGAATTAATTTAGGGATTTCGCCCCCTCCAATTATTGGCATAGAAACAGGTGCATATAATAATTAGTCAATCGGGTAGGTAATGAAGGGGCCATGTTTGCCTGTCTAACTGTTCAACTCACTCGTGTGGATGAGATAATACCTCGTTTATATTAGATTAGACTAGAGTACGTAATATAATTGTGCTTTAGTTCGTCAAAGGTAGATGGAACAAGCCAGTAAAGTTAGTGTGTGAGATCCCACATCTGTTGAAGAGGAAAACGAATCAGTCTTTATAAAGGTGTGCGAATCTCTCCCAGCAGACACGTTTTAAAAATCTTGTGGAGAAGTCCGACAAAGAGAACAATATCTACTAGCGGTGGACTTAGATCGTTACATAATATACGAAAACAAAAAGGGTAGCTACGGAAACGAATGAAGAATTATTATTAGTTTTTGTTGGTGTGGGGAGTTGGGAGTTGGGTTTGTACACAGGGAACCAATAAATAAGCTAAGCTTGGGTTATTTATTATACAGATACGTGAGGAAGGAGAAGAAGAAGAATAAGTGTGCGAAGAAATGGAGTAAATGCATGAGTTTATAGATATCAATTCATTCTTTTTCCAACGTCACATTGCATAACATATTGACATAATTGTAAGCTACGAACCCCTAAAAATCTCACCTTTTCTTCTGTTTCCTGCTTTTATGACCAATTCTGGAGGCAGCTAATGCTTATTTGCATCATACGTATAGGGAAGCCGTGGCCTTGAATCTTGATATATTGTGAAGGACAAAGGTCCCAGCTACAAGGCACTCAGACAATTAAGGTGTGAGATACAGAGACAAGAGCGTAGTGACGTGAGTGTTTTTGAACAGTTTTTGTGGAACTTAAACCCATGGGATAGCATTATTGGATTATTATTCGGTTCCAAAAAAATGGTAATTTCTTACTTTTTTGGCACTAAAAATGTGCATGAATCAGACTCCAAGAATATATAACTCATTACATTATTACAAACAAACGTATGTCCAACAAACTTGTCGATCAATATACTCTCCTTCTCTCTCTCTCTCTGTTCCTCCCTATAAAGATCAGTTGAGGCAATCAATTGGAAGTGAGTTCAGATCTTGGTCTCAAATGGTTTGTATATATTTTACAAAATGAAGATCAAAACCTTTATGCATATCTATGTCTCTCTTTCTGCTGATCTTTTTGGCTTTTCTTGTTTCAGTATCCCAGAAACTTGTTGTTGAATTTTCGAGACCGACGGAGACGGAGTCGGACCGATGAAGGCGGAGCGGAAGAGAAGTTGAATCCATTGACCTCATCAAGAAAGTGGTCATTGTTTGATTTGAACGAGGAGGCCAGGGTTGAAGATGGTGATCATGACATTAGTGTAGAAGTTGAGCAAAATGAAGAAAGAAAGCACGGACGAACTTCATCAAAGCATAATAACAATGAGAATACAAATAACTCATCAAGAGAAGAAGGAAATGGAGGAAGAAGAAGAAGAAGAAGAACAGCAGTGAGGCAGTATGTTAGATCTAAAGTGCCTCGCCTGCGTTGGACTCCTGAGCTTCATCTCAACTTTGTTCATGCCGTTCAAAGGCTCGGTGGCCAAGAGAGTAATAACAATCATTATTCCTTCTTTTCAACTATGTCATAATAAACTTCAATTTGTTATAATAATCTATGATTTTAGGAGCAACACCCAAGTTGGTTCTTCAGCTGATGAATGTAAAAGGACTTAGCATTGCCCATGTCAAAAGCCATTTACAGGTACTCATCTGTTCTTATAATTTGATGAGTTTTTTCGCTCTCAAGAACACTAACTGACCACATAGGACGCATTGAATTTTCAGATGTATAGAAGCAAGAAGCTTGACCAAACAGGGCAAGGTACAAATTAGTAACTGTTCATCATAATTCAATATCATAAAGTAGTTATGCAACTTTGTTTGTTTTTGTCCGTAATAGTTATAGGAGAAGCATGGGCGGGTGGGGTGATGCAAGGAGGTGGGGGATACTACAACAACATCAACAATAAGAATGGCGGCAGGGTGAGCCACCATTATTCTCGCTGGCACTTCCATATCCAGTTTGGAAGGGTTGCAAAACTGTTACCCTCAAACTCACCCTATGATCCAAGGAGTTGTCATGCAAGGACAAGGCAGCTGAGGAGAGAAAATCATTGTTGGGAACCAGAGCTGGAGCTAGGACTGAGGCAGACAACAACAACAGCAACAAAGAGTAGTAGTAGTAGTAGTAGTAGTGATAAAGAGAGTTGGGGATATGGTTTACGGATTACCACTGACCTTTCCCTTTCTTGAAGCTATAAGGCCACAGGCTGATTATAGAATAATGAGGTCTCTTATTGCAAAATCAGTGATAATTGAGGTCTCTGGTTGTTTGAGTTTGGGGCCATTGGCATTGCCATTCATTGCATTGCATAACAAAAAGCACACATCTATTCTGCCACCAAACAAGTAACGCGCTTTCATTTTCTGTAACATGAAAACATGAAAATTTCTTAGGAAGTACCAAAATCTTTCCTTTTTCTTGCTCTTTGAATGTCCCGACACTGGTGGGACGGTTTAGAGTCCAGAGCTTGCTGGAATCGTCCCAAGGAGTCGCGACGAACAGGGTTGTACACTCCGTCGCCGGTGTCGAAGGCGATATGCTCTGATATAGTAATAGAAAAAATTAATAGAAATGAAAAGTTTAAAATAATAATAATTTTTTTAAATTAATTCCATGAAAAAATTAATAGAAATGAAGAATGAAATAGAATTTAATTATTTTAAAGTTTGTAATATATATATATATACACACATTTAATGAATTTGGTTATGTTATTCATGGATAAAGTTAATAGTGAGTAATATTGGGACATATTTTGTAGGGCGAGAGAGAGTTTGGAGTGAGACTTAATTGGGCCTAGTGGCGACATATGTAATCGGACTCAAATGAACTAAAAAAGGGAATTATTACAATACTTTTGAGGGTAAAAAGGGAAGAAAAGAAAAGGTGTTGGAGGGACCCCTCTTCTCTATTCATACCACAAATTCACATGCTGCCCACTATCAAAATGGGCGGGGCATATGGCTGATGGGACATTAACCCAAAATCAAAACTTCAATTCTCCATATTTAAGTTAGGTTTTTGTTTATGGATAAAGGTGATTAGCTTTGTTCGATGCAATGATTCTACGTTCTCAAATGGGTGAGTAGATACAACTACTCCACTAAACTCAACTCAAAACAAAGTGTGTGTAAAAGCAAATGTATCTCAACCTCTATTGAGGATGGATGGGAGTGACGGTGGGTTTATAAGCAAAGGAATACATCTCCATTGGTACGAGAGCTGGAACATCACCTGATTGTGATTGGGTGTCGAGGGGAGGGGAGGGGAGGGGAGGGTCCAAAGGGGAAAGAACAGGTGGAAACACCCAATTATTAATCCCATCAATTTCATCCCAACCCCATAAGAATAATAAGAAAGAAACTCTCTCTTCGTACATACACAACACACAAACACACACTTTTGAGAAAAGGTATTATAATATATATATATATATATATACACACAGCTATCATTGGCTACACAAATTTTTGGAACCCAAAAGACCCCTTTGATCTCTTCTTATTCTTCTCTCTTTATGACAAACCACCACTTCCGATCACAAACCAAAGCATCCATTTAAAATCGGCGCCTATGAAGAACGCCATTCGATGCTGCATCTCCTGCATATTCCCATGTGGGTCTCTCGACGTTATCAGAATCGTCCATTGCAACGGCCACGTGGAGGAGATCGCCGGCTCAATCCGAGCCAGTGATATCATGAAGGCCAATCCTAAACACGTCCTCAAAAAACCCTCCTCCCCCTCCGACCACGGTGTGGTCCCCAAGATCGTGATCCTCCCGCCCGACGCCGAGCTCCAACGTGGAAAAATTTACTTTCTCATGCCTCTTCCTCCATCCCCAGAAAAAACCCGGTCGAAGAAGAAGAAGAGGGAAGCACCGGGAACCGATGTCGGTTCGGGTATATCGGTGACGAATTTGGTGGTTTCGGATCGGTACCTGAGTGATATACTGTCGGAGAAATTGTCGACCGGTCAGAAGGATAAGCGGCGGGGGCGTGTCGGAGTGTGGAGGCCTCATTTAGAGAGCATCTCCGAGTTCCCACCTGATCTTTAAACTGGAAATTCAGCTTCTTCATTCGCCAAGGTTTTTTTTTTCTTCCCGAAATTGTTTAATTTTCTTAAATTTCTTACAAAAATCAAAATCTCTCCGTTTGATCATGATGAATATATATATATATATATGTGTGTGTGTATAAATGAAGATCACGCAATGGAGGATGTAAATTTGGAGGGGTTGAGACGAGAGGGAGAGAGAGTTGGAATTTACAGTGATTCAGATCGTTAGTAATTGGAAAGCAAATATGTGTTTGTGTTTGTATCACAATTTCAGTATAATTCTTTTTCTTTTCTTTTTATTTCTTTTTATGCGCACTGTGATGTGATTCTTTTCAACAATAGTAATCTAATTACTTTAAAATAAGCATCATAAAAAGGATAAAATTAAGCAATTTAAATTACAATAAATCACATAAAACAGTCTTATAAATAATAATTCTATGAAGAATGAACAAAATTAAATTACAAAAAATGTTGAAAATATTTATGAATTACGAGAATATAAATAATGAATGGTTTATAAAATATATATTCCCTTTGAAACATGTTTATGAAGAACAATATGAAAAATGAGTATATAATATTAGTTAAAAAAAATGATAGTCCCCACATAGTTTTCAAAATTCCACAATAGAATAATGCAAAGTGTTGGCGTTGCACATACAAGTGGGCATAATCTTCAAACCCCATTAGTATCTCATTTTTTAAATAATTTATAATAATAATAAATAAATAAATAAAATGGTGTTCCAGCGGCTGGTCGTGTTCCTCTCCAGATATGATTATCAGGAGGCATGAGAGATTGGCAAATTGAAATCCTGTAAAGGTTTATACAGTTTGGATTAGATATCACATCCCTCCCAACAACTCATCTTGGCCCCTCCTAATAATTACCTCTCTTTTTTCTTTTTTCTTTTTTTTTTAAATATATAAATTTGATCTTTAATGAAATGTGTAAAGTTAAGGGAGTGGGTATTTATCTAATTTTGAAGATTTATTTAAAAACTAAGTGTTTTTGCGGCCGAGAATAATATGGGTATGGAAAACCGGAGGAAAAAATTAAATTATATATATATTTATATATTTTTAGGGTCCCCTCGTAGTCCTATACACAACTTTCCCTGATTGGTAAGGTAAAGCGTCGCTATCTAAGTCTTTATCTTTGCTTTCGCCTTTCTAATATGCTCAATCTCACATTATTATTTACTTTTTCTAATATTTTCCACTCCAACATAATGCAATCACGCAAATGCTCTATTCTCAATTTTCTCCTCATCATTTATTTATATATTCAATGTATTTTTTTTAAAGATTTTACTTCGTTCCACGTGGCAAATGTTGTCTATTTTATTTTGGAATTAAATAAACAAATATTGGAGTTAAATTATTATGAAATAAATGTTTTTCAAAAAAAGGTAATATTTTATAAGAAATTCTTAAATTATTATGAAGTGGTTGAATCCAAAGAAGAGGAGGGATGGGGCGGGAGTCGGATCCAAAGAAAAGGAAGGTCCAGGCCCAACCGGAACTAGGGGTTGACCTTCGGTGGAGAAGAAGATGGGAACGGTGACCCCAACCCCTTCTGTCACCCACATCGGACTCGGACTCCGACCGAATCTCCCCTAATATCAAATAATAATAACGCCGTTACGCAACGACATGCAGTTGTCAATTATTTGAATTTTTATGTTTCAATTCTCAAATATGATAAGAACAAGCCGAGCCAACCCTAGCCGAGCCGTTCCCTCACCGTCAACTTCAACCGTCATGCAACCCAAAGCCATTGCCATTGATGCTAAACGGCTCCCCCCCTCTCCCGGCCCGGTGACTTCAACGGCTCGACCGTACCGTATTACTCACTCTCCCCCCGACACATTCGGCTCACGCGTCCGGCACTTCGTCGCCGACGCAACCTCTTTAACCTCTAACCCTTAACCCTTTACCCCCTAACCCTACCAACTCCCTTCTCTCTTCCACCCCCGATCCCGTTCCCGATCCCGATCCCGACTACCCAAATCTCAAATCACCGATCACGTGCCGTATTTTTGTCTCCGTCGCCTCCGCCGCCGCCGCTCCCTATGGGCGACTTGAACGATTCCTTGACACCGTCGTCGGGCCACTCCCGGCCCATGCCCGTTCGTGAAGACTGCTGGAGCGAGGAGGCTACCTCCACTCTCGTCGACGTTTGGGGCCGCCGTTTTGTCGAGCTCAACCGGGGGAATCTTCGCCAGAAAGATTGGCAAGATGTGGCTGAAGCCGTCAATGCCCTCCATGGCCACTCCAAGAAGACTCACCGTACTGACGTCCAGTGCAAAAACCGAATCGATACCATTAAGAAGAAGTACAAGATCGAGAAGGCTAGAGTATCCGCTTCCAACGGATCTGTAACCTCGTCTTGGCCCTTCTACGATCGCCTCGATGGTCTGATTGGATCCAATTTTTCTCAGAAGAAGCCATCCACCTCGATGTCTCAATCTCCGCCGATGGCTCGTCCTCTCTCGTACCGGAAAGCGCCGTCTTCGGGGACTGCAAATGCGGTTTCTGTTGCCATTCCGCAGAAGCGCCCATTGGCGGCAGTGGATGATGGGTTTTTTCGCAGGAATTATTCGGCCATGGCTGCCGCGGCTGCTGCTACAGAAGCAGAGGAGGACGAGGAAGAGGAGGAGGCGGAAGCGGAGGCGGAGGCGGAGGCGGAGGAGAGGGGAAGTGAGGATGAGGAGGGAGAAGGAGAGGGCATGAGAAGGTTGGCCAAAGCAATAGAGAGGTTTGGGAAGATGTATGAAAGAGTGGAAGCAGAGAAGTTGAGGCAGATGGTGGAATTGGAGAAGCAGAGGATGCAGTTTGCAAAGGACTTGGAGGTTCAGCGTATGCAGATGTTTACGGAAACTCAAGTTCAGCTCGAGAGGATCAAGCGCGGGAAGAAATCGGGTTCCAATGGTAAGAAAATCTCCAATTCTTTTTATTTTTGCCTTTCTTTAATTGTGGGTTCTGGGTTACTCTGTAAAAATGAAGAACTTGCCATTAACTAGAGCTTTGAAAATGTTTTTTTTTTTTTTTTTTTTTTTTAAGTGTAAATACTAATGTAATTACATTCTGTCCACCCATCAGATGCCTTGCTCTCAACCACTACTCTTTTGTACTTCTTTCATATGTTTGATGTGAAGGACTAAAGTTACACTCCGTACTTGCTGCATCTAATTCTCAATATTTAGACCTCTTAGAATATGCATGAGGCTGATATGATCTGCACTTTTTCTTGTATACTGTCAAAGTTTGAAGTTCGTTTTGAAGGGTTCTGCTGTTTGATGCTCTTCTTGTTTCCTACGTCATGTATTCGTGAGAAGTAACAGAGTCAACTTCTGGAGTTTTACCAACGTTGTTTCTAATTGCATTAGGATTTAACCTTTGAAGATACATACATACCTTTTAATGATTATGTCTAATAGGAATGGTCTTCTTTGAAGAGGTTATTCATTTTTGTTATTTACTTTTGCTTTTGGTTTCCCCTGATTCGCTTTGTCAAATATGTGCTAGTGGTGGACTGTTGATTTGGGAAATCTATGAACTCATGGAGAGTCTAAACTGCTTTTCTCTGTGTGTCAATTCATCTCTGATCCTTCACAGAGCACGCCCCTCTGTTCATCTCCTTATTATTCCAATTATAAACAAGTATTTGAGGAGTTATTTAGGTAGGTAAGAGGCTAAATAACCAATTATTTTACCCCACATGAGAAATTACTACCAATTGTTTGTACTAGGAACTAAAAAATGGAGATCATCAAACTGCTGTCTTTCCCGTTTCCAATTTCCTTCTATGGTGTTTCTCTACTGATGAAGGTTGTAGGAAGCATTTGGTATCATAAGTAGCAACTTATATGCATTACTAGTGTGTATTATTAACTGATCATTCTTATTTTGCTTCATTTGTTAGATCATGTTTAGAGATGAGGGAAAACATTCTTTGTTATACAAGAGACAAACAGATTCAGGGAAAGTCTGTATGCTTAATTTCGGATCTTTATGAAATCTTGGTTACGAGAAATAGGAGAAGCTTAAGGGATAGATTCACATGCAGGGCAGGTATATGGTTTTGATCCCCCACCCAAACCAAAGCCATTAATCACCGAGGACTTTCAGTGTTCCATTAATCTTGCTTACTGGAAGCCTTTTAGCTTATGCCCCCTCTCCCTTTTGATGTTGTCTTTGCCTCCTTTTGCTGCTTGTTGCATGTTGTTCTTTGCTTGAATATAGAATTGGCATGCTTGATGAATAGTTGGCCTTTTTGGAATGCATTACTTTTGGAGACTTTTCCTTCTTTTTTTTCTTTTTCTTTTTGTCAACTTATGTTTGGTCTAATAACTATGAATACTGCCAAATATGCTCCAAGTTATATTCCTGTCTAACGTTGTAAGATAAAAGGATATCAAAGTTCTCTCTCTCTGTGCTGTCTGTACTGGAAGAATTCGTGAAGCTATCCTATCAGATTGTTTAGAATATAAACCACTCGGGGATCAACCATGTAACAGCCAAAGCCCATTGCTAGTAGATATTGTTCTTTTTGGGCTTCTACTCAAAGTTTTTAAAACGCGTCTGCTAGGGATAGGCTTACCCACCTTTATAAAGCCCAAAGAGGATAATATCCGGTAGCGGTGGGCTTAGGCTGTTACAGACAGACTTGAACAAGTTTTTCCAAACTTGTCCGGTAGGATGCCTCAAACTCAGCTGTTTGATAAACTGTAGTAGTGCATTGTATTGGGAGGTGGTCATGAGAAGCAGCAAGGTGAAGTAAGAATGGTTTAAAATGTCTCAGATTACAAGTTCCATTCTGATGTTTATTATTATCATTTGTGGTGTGTGTGGAATTCCTACTTCGGCATAAGATGTTATTTGTTTCTCATTTGCGTGCATCTTGGTTGCAATTTTGCAGACATCTATGGCTAGTGACATATGGCAGTGTTCGAACGTTGTATGGAAGCATTCAACTTTTGTCTGTGTCCTTCCCCGAGTACATATTATTGCAGCAGCTGATATATGGGTACAAGTGAACCGCTAAAGCAGATTGTTAGAGCTATCTTAATATTCTTACAGTTCTTAGCTCGTCTTTTTCTTCTTTTTTGATTGAATAGAAAAGGAACCTGAATTCGGAAGCAGGCTGGACCTGTATTTAGTCCCCAATGTATTCAAGTTAGCTGTAATATTGTCAGATTTTTCTTATAAAATTTTAAATGCCATTGTCTACTTCCTTTATTAATATATTGTTCTATCCTGTTGCTTCAAAATTTAAATTAATAGTTGCCTTCACCCTGTAGAAACTACTGAGATCCAAGAATAATCCAGGTTTTTGCTTGAGTCGTTGTTTTTCCGAACTGGTCCAGGTATCGAAGAAAATCAAGTATATGGTTACAGCTACAGTGGGATAACGATACTGGGCGTGTTCGGTTTTTAAGATATGGCCCGAAAGTGTCCAATCTCGCCGCTTTTGGGACTCGTGGCGGCTGCAGCTGTTGTCGAGGATCGGCGGTGGGCGACCGAGATGACGAGCCTGCCGTCACAGCTTGGCCTGTCGCCTAACGTGACAATGATGCAAGAATTTTGCAAAACGCTTTAGCCCATTTACATATTTGGGCCGACGCTTGTGGCCCAGCCCGTTTACAAACTTCCATACTTCTCTCAATAAACATATTTCAACGCTCACCGGTTTCTTGGCAGCACTATAGCATAAAGGACAAGAGAAGAAAACCAAATACAAGATGATCATATGAGACACTACCCATAGCCTCTCGACACTGCCACAACATAAGCTTGAAGATCGAACCACATACCAAAATGTCGGGTGGACTCGCCTAACTTAGAACTTGATTCTACCTGTTACAACTTTGAAGCATTCTAAATCTAAATAGATACAAGCTAAGAATTTCATAACTAAACTTATAATATACGAGTAGAGACATCTAATCTAATGGAAGTAAAAGAGAAAGGCGCTCGAGATAAAGGATGCCTTTCTTTCTTTTTTTTTTCATCTAATGTGGCTTCCTTTTTCCTTCCCAAAAAGGAGAAGTAAAAGGAAAAGGAAAAAGAAATAAAGAAATAAAGAAATAAATAATTAAATAAAGGTAGCTTTGTTATGTTTATCATATAATTTGAATTTGCAATAAGAAGGATAGTGTGTACACTTGTCCATAACTCAAATTTCAAAACTTTAATGCCCACAAAAAAGTTGATCATGTCCACCATAAAATGAGGCTTTTTGGAAGACCCACATCAACAAACAAATCAAAAGCTCTTACCTTTAAGTATCAATGCAACTTTTTCACTCCAAAAAAACTTCAAAAAGTTGAGTCTTTTAAAGATGAACAAGAACAAGAAAGAAAAAACCCACACAGAGTCATGCCAGACTTAAACGAGAAGAGAAGAAGGAGACCAGATGCAGTATTTATTCCTAAACTTGTGAATGTAATCTTAAATTTCCATGTATACAATAACCTTTCAATCACTTTAAGTTTCTACCAAAAGCACCCTACTTTTTTCTATACTTTTTTTAAAAAAAGAAATTTGAATAAAAATTTCCCGCATCTTTTTCCTTTTTCTCCTTTTTTTCTCCTTTTTTCTCTTTCTCTTTATTGATAGAGAATCTGATGATGACATGAAGCAAATGATGTAAGTATATATATATATATATATATATATATAAGAGAGAGAGAGAGAAAAAGGGGGCGATACCCAAGTCTTTCACTCTTTCCCACCATAATAGCTATCAATTTGACTAATTGCCGTCTGTTTTGTCTCATCGATTCTCCTGTTTTACTGCTTTGTATTATGAACTTTTACTTCCACACACACATATATATATATATATATATACCCATTTCCCTATGTGTCCTCTCTGCACACCACTTCCCCAGAAAAGAACAAATTAGGAACAACCCTCTTCTTTTTCTCCCTCTCTCTGTTTTACATATGGCTCAGGTTCATGGTAGCGCCACGGGTGGAATTAAGCTTTTTGGCACTATCATTCCTTTGCAGACCAGAAAAGTCAAGGATCAACCGGAGAAAGGCGGCGGCGGCGGAGGCGGTGCTGACGGTGATCAAACAGAGATGAAGAGGCCTGAAAAGATTATTCCATGTCCGAGATGTAAGAGCATGGACACCAAATTCTGTTACTTTAACAATTACAATGTTAATCAGCCCAGACATTTCTGCAAGGGTTGTCAAAGGTACTGGACTGCTGGTGGGGCGCTCCGGAATGTCCCCATCGGAGCTGGACGACGGAGAGCCAAGCCGCCGCCTAATTGCCGGACGCTTTCCGGCGAGATGCCCGATGATTATGGGCAACTTTACGATGCTGCTTCTGGGATTATTCATCAGCTTGAATTGGACGCGGTGGAGGGGTGGCATCTGGCTGTGGCGGAACAGGATTTTACCCAAGTTTTTCCTCTCAAACGCCAGAAGATTATCGGTCAATACGGTCAAACGTCTTAACATCTCCCTTTTTTTTTTTTTTTTTTTTTTTTTAATGCTTCGATGATTTTCTGTGGAAATTAGATATACAGATTTAGCTATTTGACATGTGATTATGTAAATATTAATCTGTGGCTGAGGTTGATGATCCGATGATTCATATTGCCAGATGGGCGGTGTGGGATTGAAACCAAGAGGATTAGTTTCAAAGTTTCAAGCTTTGTCAACTAAGCAACGCAAATTAATGATAAGTTAAACAACATGGATATGTGTCTACAAATATTATAATATAAACATATCCATTAGAGAGAGATTTCACACTCATAAGAGATCTCATAATCTATTCCTTTTGAGGTTAAGCATTCTATCGAATTTTCATTCTCTCTCTATTCGATGTGGAATCTTACAATCCATCATTCTCAAGGTCCAACATACTCGTTAGTACTCATTTCTTTCTTCAATAGAATCTTACAATCCACTCCCTTTGGGACTAGCATTCTCGCTGCACACCACTTGTGTTCACTCCTTTTAGGGCTTAGTGTCCTCACTGGCACACACTGATGTCTGATTTTGAAACTTTTCTCTTATCAAACCCATTTTAAAAGTCGAGAAGAAGCCAAAAATAAAAAAAAAAACTTAAGAGGATAATGTCTCTTAAGTCTCTATATATATATATATAGCGTGGGAGGAAATTTTGTGCTCCTTTTTACACACACGTAAAGAGTGAGGATTGGGTCCCCATCATTTGGGGTGGATCAGAAAATGATAGCTCAGTCCAAACGAGAAGAGGTGAGACAAAAGGAAAGAGAAGCCCATGAAGGTGAGCGGGTTGGGTTGACGAACAGGGCTTGTGATGCCATTCCAGCCGTGGAGGAGAGAGCTTGAGTTCTGTAGGAGGGATTTGATTGCTTGTGTTCTTTGGCGAATCAAAAAGGCTTCAACCAACTTCATATTGCATATTTGAAACCAATATAACTAAGCTTTCCTTAATTGCTACGAACACCAGGCAAAGATTGGGCTGTAATTTCCGAAGCCCATGTGTTACACACAGTGGATTTTGGTTTCCCTTTTTCTTTTATCATCTTTGAGTATTAAAAAAAGTGAGACAAAAGAACACAATCATGAGTCAACACAAAAACCCATTTCAAAGAAAGTTCATCCAATTCCAAAGTCCATTCCTTTTCCGGGGGTTGGGTCAATTTCGGCCCTCCTTCTCCTGCCTTCCCTTTCCCTGTAGTATGCTCTGTTTCCCATTTTCGAAATTTCCATGCTTCCCTTCTTTCTTACAACGTCGTGCAATTAGCCTAATAATGGTTTTGAATTTGAATTTGAGTGGCGAAGTCAAAGTGGCTAAGCTTAGAAAGAAGAAGTTGTTCTTGTGATGATGGGTTTTCGTGGAAAATTAGGATTCTTATGACTTCCCCATCCCAACTCTGAAGCCTTTTCATGACTCTCTGTTTCTTTTCTTTTGTTTTAACAGTCTTTACACAGAGACAGAGAGAAACAGAGGAAGCCCTTATAATAGGTTGGTTGTGGCTATGGCACACCTCATAAAACCACCATATTGCACTTTTCACCCCTCCTATTTCAAAACCATCACTTATCTAAGGATAAACTTTCCCACTATAATGATTAATTATTTGATAAAAACCAAACCCTCTCATCCATAATTTTATATTCTTAGATGTCTCTAAAAATTTAAAAACTCGTGTGTTTGGGAGAAGTTTATCTACACGGGTTTTAAAATTTTAAGGTTGACCTAAAAAAAAAAAAAAAAAATTGAAATTAAAGAAGGCAGTGGAAATCTGATGTGGGGATAGGCATTGCAAATTGCAAGAAAGAAGTGTGCATCTCTCTCTCTCTATATATATATTGGAAGTCCACCCACATTTTATACCAAACACTTTAGAGTGGTCAAAATTGGTGATTAAAAAAAAAATCCAACAAAATCTTCCCACTCAAATTACATATTAGTGTGCCCTAATATCTATATAATCCAAGATTTTATCATAAAAACACAGTGATCTCAAGAGAAAAAATAAGAAAAAAAAACCCAGAATTTTGGTTATTTAAAGTTGTAGCAATGAGTTGACTTATTTCAGACAGAACAAAAGAGACGTCAAATGCATTTAATGAGCAAATAATAACACAATCTCTGTCTTCGTAGACTTGTGGGGATGAATTTTGTTCCCTTTTTTTGGTGTTCCTTTACCGACAAAATCTTTTAAGAAAAACAAATTAAATCTACACTTGATCACAATGAGTATTATTAACAGATCTGGATGCCTCCATTATTACACTAATTCTTCCAGGAAGCAATTTTTTTTATTGAATCACGTCTGATGCATAGGCCACACAATAATTAAGTACGTGTTTAAATAAGATTATTGTCTAAAATGGGAGGGTACATGATTCATGAACCAAGATAGGAAATTAATGAAACAAATTAGTGTAAGGTTTTGAATGATTATATAATTAGGTGATCTAATTAATAATAATAATAATAAACAGAGCATGTGTTGTTTTAAGACTTGAGGGCGGTGTCCTTCGTACGTTATTTCTTTTTTATTTTATTTTATTTAATCGAATCGTTTGTGTTTTAAAATTTAAATACTTGATCGTTGAGGAGGCATGGGATGATATTGCTATTGGGTTTGGGGGTGCATGTGTCTTCATCTCTCTCTCTCTCTCTCTCTCTCTCTCTCATAATTCATTAAACCCCCATTCCCATCTCTCACCATGAATCCAAGTTCTTCTTCTTCTTCTTCTTCTTCTTCTTCCGCTCAAACACCCATTTGGGTATATTCATACGTGAAGCTCCGATTCTTCAATCGAATCCGGAGGTTCCTTCGTTCCAAAACGCCCAAAAAGCCGTATGTCTCTCCCACGGAATCCATCGCTATTTCACCCAATATTACACCAACCAGTAATGAAGCTATACACGTTGCAGAACCTGATTGCGACTGTACCGGTGGAATTGGTGGTGGCGCGGATGAATTCGCGGTGGCGTTGAGGAGGACAGTGAAGAAGCTTCACTTTGGGAGCTGGGAAGAGAAGGAGATAGCAGCCAAGGTGATTGTGAATATGGCTAAAGAGGACGTGAAGGTGAAAAAGTTAATGGTGGAGTTCCGGGTTGTACCGGCCTTGGTTTCGATGGTGACGTCGGACGCCGTGGGGCGACCGGAAGTGGCTGTGGAAGCGTTGCTTGAGCTTGCCAAAGGAAGCTTCGAGTAAGTTACTTCAAAATCATTCAAAATTTTGTGTTCTCTGTTTTACGTGCATCGATCCATGTGTTTGTTCTCTTAGTTAAAAAAGAAAAACACTTCCCCTAATGGTAAATAGAAGTCATTTGATGGGAAATTTCTTCTCATTTGAGAGTTTCCATCAGTGATCATCTCAATTTTTAAAGGGTCAGATCAACTTCACCTTCAGATGGTATCGGAATAAAAGAGAGAGTGGAACAGTTAAGGCAGACAGAACCCAAATTCAAATTAAAAATAAAAACTTTACAGAAAGATGTGCAGTAGTTTGGATGTCCTCGATAACCCAAAATTTGAAAAAGGCTATACATAAATAACCAAAAGCTGTAAGGTATTAATTAAGAGAGAGAAAGAGGAAAAATGTTAAGCATATTGGGTCAACTCTATATTCTGGCAAGAGAGGCATGTGGTTAGTGCAGTGAAGTTTTGGATCTGTCCTAACTGAAATTATAAATCAAATGTTTAGTTGCGCATCATACTAGAAAAGATGTCTACTTTAAGGTTATGCCTACTGGGTTTGTGGTTTGGTTTTTCATCTGCCTCTAAAGTTTTGAACCGTTCTGGCCAAAACCAGCTTTTGCCATGTGGCTCGACTCTGACTTGGACTTACTTTTCTCTGTGCCATTCTTTAGGAACAAGGCCCTCATGGTGGAAGCAGGAATCTTACACAAACTTCCAAGTAACATCCAAGCCATGGATGAATCAGCAAAACATGATTTTGCAAGATTGCTGCTGTCACTGTCGTCTCTGATCAATTCCCATTTCACAATTGCCTTGCAGGCGAATGAAAGTGTTATCCCATTCCTTTTGGGGATTCTAGAATTAACCTCAAATTTCGAGACCCAAAGATGCTGCCTTGAAACTCTGTATAACATCTCCACAGTGCTAGAGAATGTAGGGCCTCTGGTCTCAAATGGTGTGGTGCAAACCCTCTTGCAAATGTCCTCATCCAAAGGCCTTTCGGATAGAGCCCTCGCAGCATTGGGGAACTTGGTGGTGACTTCACAGGGAAAAAGGGCAATGGAGAGCAGCCCAATGGTCCCGGATATTCTGATAGAGAATATGACATGGGAGGACAAACCAAAATCTATTGAGTTATCCGCTTATATCCTAATGATATTGGCACATCAGAGCTCAGAACAGAGAGAGAAGATGGCAAAATCTGGGATTGTTGCAGTGCTTATTGAAGTGGGATTACTAGGTAGTCCACTGGCTCAAAAGAGGGCCCTAAAGCTATTACAATGGTTTAAGAATGAGAAGCAAGCAAAAATGTATCCACATTCTGGGCCACAGACAGGAAGAATAGTGATCGGGTCGCCTGTAAATCAAAGAGAAGTTCAGGAAGGGAGAAAAATGATGAAGAATTTGGTGAAACAGAGCTTGTATAAGAATCTGGAGTTGATTACTGGGCGAGCCAGTGCGGGAGACTCAGCAAAGCTGAAGAACTTGGTGATTAGCACCAGTTCCAAGAGTTTACCTTTCTGATCTTAATTTCTGTGCTCCATATTTTTTTTCCAACGGATGCATGAAAATATTCGTCAGCAACGACCCTAAGATAGCAGAAGATGATCAGACTTGGAAGAAAGCAAGAAGAGAATTTGCAGCAAGGGTCCTTATTTTTGTTGTACAGCTTTGATCATGTGGAAAAATAAAAGAAGGAAGACCCCTAAGAATTTTTTTGTTCAATTATTCTTTGTAAGAAAAGAAAACCTAAGAAGACCTTCTTCTTGTCATCAAATTTGATCTTTTTAGAACTTAAGTAATCTTTAGGGTGTTTTTTAAAATTTACCTTAAAAGAGAAACTAAGCTAAAGAAAGTATTACAAGTTATAAGTTAGACTAGAGGAATTTGAGGCCAAGTCAAATTTTTGTTCTGCAGATGGTTTGCCTTGCTAGAGAATTACTAATCCTAGGAACTGTGTAAACTTTTTAGTTTGCCAAATTATGAAAATATGTTATAATCACTCAAGGTTTTGAATACAAATGTTACATAAATCTGAACTCAGCTTAGTAAATGAGACATTGCTTATCTCTTTCAAGGATATTTGTTGAACTCTCTCTATACATAATACAAATTCAAATATTCCTAATTTCAAAATTTATAAACCAAAACTTATTAAAAACCAAACATGCACTAATTAAAGAGTGTACTGTACTGTCCAAATTCAAATATCTGCTTTTGGGAAAGTTCCAGGTGATTCTGATTGAAATATGTGAAGTGGGTTTTGCTCTTGGTTTTCTGCATCGGCAGTTTGGTTAAAGCTTTTTCCTTATTTTGGCTCTTTTTTGTGGTTCACAAAACCCTATCCCACTAATCGCATTATTCTTATTTAAAAGGATATACATTGCAAAATAAAGAAAAAAGAATCCAAATCCTTAAAAGGACGGGAGACGTGGATGTTTGACAATTTAATTTGGGCTCAAGTAGCAACAACCACACCTGTCTAATTCTTTGCAATTAGAATGTGACATTTTCAGTGAAAAGATGCAATTATTGTGGAGAGTTTTCTCTCCTGGAACGGACAGATGTAGACAATCATGTAGGTTCTAATTCAATAACATATGCAATCATATTATCTACAATCTTAAGTAGTGAAAATTTTACATACCAGATTAGACAATCTTTGGATTTCTCGAAAAAATCAGGATTTCAGATGCTTCTATGATAATATTTAATTCTTGATTGTCGTTTCCTGTAAAGAAAAGCAGATACAGGCACAGATGTAAAAACCTGCAAATGGACATCCATCAGCTTTGGAAAAGGAAAAAGAGCAATAATATGTGCTTTTGTTGTTACATCATTCATGTAATTGAATCTTACTATTACAGGGGAGCATCTTGTCAAGACAGAAGATGGAAAAACAATTCAAGCATCTAAAAAACAGAATCATCTCATTATTAAACCAAACCATTTCTCAGCTAACCAAAAAGTATGTGGAGCTCACGAAGTATTATCATTACCATCTATGCATGCAAATGACAAAATTTCTGAAATTTCCTGGTGCTTGGAATTAACATATGGTATTCCAGAATGAAACTGTTTCTGCCAAATTAGAAATCAAACTATTTGTTTATAGACCTTAAAGAACGCTTAAATTTGTGCTCTCAACTGGCGCATGGAACCAACTAATTTTTCTTGGCCTCTTTGACATTCTTTCAGATTGAAAACAAGAATGCTAAAGCAAATATATCATGGCCATCAAGGAAGCAGAGCCAAAAACCAAATGCAATTACCGATGAAATACTTAAGTGTTCTCCATCCACCATACAAAATGATGAATTCCCCGATTGGGAGATTGTTTAGATCTATGGAATAAATGGCATCAGTAAGCTAATTTTAGTATTGCCTTCCTTCTACAAGCAGAGGAAGTGAACACAAGGCAACTAAATTCATGTGATGCTCCCAATAATAATCCCACAAGGATTTATCCTGTAATGCTATGCTAGTCATTTTGTAGCTTTCAGTGCTTTTCAATTTTCTCTGCCTACTATAATCTTAAGATTGAAGGGGATTTTAGTTTTCTTCTATTATCAAAAAGAAAATAATTAAATTCTATAACCCAGCATGAACAGGAACTTCTAACTTCTAGGTCCTTTCTATCAGAGCCACACAACTGGCCATCCATGTACCTAATGAATACCACTGAAACCATCATTTTCTTTCTCTACAATGTCTTCGGCCTTGTCAGACAGCACAATGGTTAACATTCTCAACGTCAAAATATCAATAACAATAATGTTTCAATACGTAAAACTGCAGAGTAGTAATGGTAAAACAGCAGAGTAGTTCAAGCAAAAACTATATTAGAGAGAAACTGATATAATTCAGATTTCACACCAAGAAAATGAATGACAAGAAGGCCTAATATTAGATTAGTAGCGACAGACCTCAGGTTTCCGAAGATATACATATTTCAGTTCAGGGGAAATTTTCAAATGAACATAAGCTAGTCCTTCAGTCATTTCAATTTAACATTGATAATTGTCAGTTAGTATCTAACTCTAAATCTGGTTCGGAGTTAGAAGTTAGATTTAGTTTTGATTTGATTTAGTTTTTGATTTGTTTAATGGTTAGGTAGATTTTCTAAATATTTTTTTTTTGTATCCTCTCTATGTATAGAGAGCATTCTTGCTCTCCACAATTTAATCTTCTCATCTACCATTCAATCACTCACTATTTCACTAACAATAATTAACTGCCTTTCAAAAGAACCAATGACATATAATATGATGAGCTATCTTGACCAGTCATTCGAAGAGTGAATTATACAACATTGCGTAATTTACCTAGAAATGGTTTAAGCGAGAAATACTTAAGCACCCTTTCCACTGCTTGGGTTGGATTTCGTGCAGGGGACCTTCCTACCCTTGGCACTTCTGCACTTTAGGACAGCTCTACCATTGGTGGTTCGCATTCTTCTGCGAAAACCATGAGTCCGAGCTAAGGATTTACGTGCTCTGTTTCGTATAGTCTGACATAGTGCAGCCTTGCCAGCCCTCACCACTAAGCTCCGACGCTTCCATTGCCGACCCCAATCTTAGACCTCCAATCCAAACCCAAAGATAAGCCTGCAAATGTGTGCATTCTCATAAAATAAATATTACAAAATCTTGATGGATAGAACTAAATATCGTAAGAGGAGCTCCCCAATGTTGCAGTAGAGGGTGCATATTCTTTTATATTCCCCTCAGCGTGTGAAACACAATGGATTATTAGTAATATAAAAAATGGAGATATGTAGCCACCAGCAACTTTTTCACTAACAATTCGATTACTGGAAACCACGAAAAGAAAAATAAGAGAGTAGTCATAACAAATCAAATGCAAGCAGAAATCGACCACCGACAATTATGTCATTGACCAACCAAGAAATTATTAAATCAAACGAGCTTGAATGTATAGAATTCGAAATGCAAGGGCCTAGAAAGTGATAAACGCACACGACAGGAAATAAATACTTAAGTGAACTGCTGTAGACTCCAACACATTGGCAAATGAGCAAGCAATAATGGGAAATCATAAAGTTACTCGAATGATACAGAAATTAGAGAGTATAAATTCCTCACCTGCAAAGGATGAAGAGCACGAAAGGGAGGAAGATGTAAGAAATGAAGAATGGAGTAGTCCAGAACGGGCGGCAGTGAGCTGGCGGTATTAAGAAATACGGAGCAGCAACCTGTAGAAGCGGCGGAGAATACAAGTGAAGCTGAGGGAACGCGTATGGGCATGCCTCCGTTGGATACTCATGGGGACGCTAATACTGATATGGCTGCCATTGTTAGACTGTTAGTTCCCTCCTTTCAGCTAATCTTGGAAGATGGAGCCTTATCCTGATATGGTTTGAACTTAATCGGGTCGGGTTGCTAGATCCAGGAATCCCTTTATAAGGGCCAGCGTCCGGACAAGCCCAATTCAAGATATGGACTCTTGGAAGCCCATCATTCGTTTGCCTCTTTCTAGACGTCCAGAGGTTCCACAAAAATGGGATGTTTTGTTCGGATACTATTTATAACAACCCAATTCTACCCTAGACGATATTTAACTCGTTACCTATCATTGTCAGCCTCACAGTTTGTCTACTAGGAAAAAGTTCTCACACTATTATAAAAAATGTTTTTGTTCGTTCCACTGTTCAACCGATGTGAGATTTCTGCCTAAAGAGGCGTGTGTGATATAGAAATAGCAACATTTATTCAGGCAACCACAAATGTTCAACAATTATTCACGGAACCACAAATGTCGAAGACTTTATGAAGTAGAGATAAAAGGTTGAACCCCTTTCCTAAATTCAACTATAATAATTTAATAGAACAATAATACAAAAATCATCATTAATGTAGAAACTGATTCACAAACTTTAAAATAAAATTTAAAAAAAAAAAAAAAAAAGCAAAATAATTTATGAAATGAAAGCTCGTCAACTGCTTATGACCTGACCAGGTGTGTGTGTTTTTTTGTGGAAGGTTGATATGGCTGCAGCGTGCTGGTTAGTACATCAAGGGCCAGAAATCTGTTGTACTTCCCTTAATCAATCCAGCCAACATAATTCAATTCCCAGCTCATGGCATAAAATTTTCAAGGATTAAAATAATAATCAGGGAAGGTCCTCTCGGCTGGTTCTCTCGTTTGTCTCCATATACACCCACTTGCTTCTGTCTATTTGTATTCCCCGAAGCTCTCCCTTCTTTTCAGTCAGAGCCCAAAATCTGGGATGGGTCTTCCATTCAGAGCTCTGGCCCTCCTACTTTTACAACTTCTGTTTCTCTGTTTACTACAAACTGCAAGAGCTGAGGATCTCTACAACATAAGCAATGTGGGAAGTAGGAAGCAGGAGAGGGCGTGCAATTTGTTTCAGGGAAGATGGGTTTTTGATCCTTCTTTACCTCTTTATGAATCTTCAAGCTGTCCCTTCATAGACCCTGAGTTTAACTGCCAAAAGTATGGCAGACCAGATCGATCCTACCTCAACTACATTTGGAAACCAGACTTGTGTGATCTTCCAAGGTACTACTTTTCTCATTCCTTTTTCTTCCATTTTAGACATTCCTGCTTTCCTTCAGCTCAAGCTTTCTTCTCTGAGAAAGTGTGTTCATTTCTTTGAAGGTTTGACGGGTTGGAGCTTCTGAGGCGGTGGAGAGGGAAGAAGATAATGTTTGTAGGCGACTCACTGAGTCTCAACATGTGGCAGTCCTTAACATGTATGATTCTAGCGTCGGCGCCAAAAGCCAAAACCTCCATAGTCAGGCGGGACTCACTCTCTACTGTGATCTTCCAGGCGAGTTCTTTCCCCTTTTTCTTTTTCTCAAATGTCCCGATTCAAAATCTCCCGCTTCACAGTCTACTAATTGTCTGCTGCCTTTGTTCACTTTTTCAAAAGCTGTTTTTTGGATTATGCTGTGCTTGGTATCCTGAAAAAGAACAAAACAGATAATATAAGAAACCATACGCGTAATAACAAACTAATAAACGCCAATAATAACTTTCGATGGTCTATAATTAATAATATACAAAACCAATGAAGAAGAGGATATGGTGAGTGCAGGACTATGGAGTAAGCGTGCTTCTTCACAGAACGCCCTACCTCGTAGACGTAGTCAAAGAGAGGGTTGGAAGAGTACTAAAGCTTGATTCCATTGAAGGAGGCAGTGTGTGGAAGGGAATGGATGTGCTCATATTCAACTCCTGGCATTGGTGGACGCACACTGGGAGATCCCAGCCGTATGATCAATCTCTTTTTTCATGATCATGCTGATATGGTAAAAATCTGACGGTTGTGAGTGTTGTGGATCAGGTGGGATTATGTGCAAGTAGGAAATACAGTAAAGAAAGATATGAACCGTCTAGAGGCATTCTATCAAGGGTTGACCACCTGGGCAAGATGGGTGGAAATGAACGTTGATCCCAGTAAAACCAGTGTCATTTTCCAGGGAATCTCCCCCACTCATTATGAGTAAGTAACAATCAGCGGCTGTGATTCCTTCTTCTATCAAATTAAATTCTTGATGCTTTCCAGCATTTTGGCAAGCTCTGAACATGTACAGACATTTCTGTCGATGGAGAAGGCATCATTGCCACGTATCCGTGTCGGATAGTGTGTGTGACATTAATAATCGATAACCTTATCATGAAATTCACAGTATACATATATATATATTTGATATTGTAATTTTCTCATAGGTAGTAGGTAGCAATAAAATCGGTCAAACTGGGTAGAGCAGTTCAAGGACAAAGAACTTATTTTAATCGACTTTTCATCTGCCGACGAAGAACAAGTTGTGTAGCCATTTAATGCACTACTATTGGGCAGTAATTTTCAGATCAGAAAACTAGATTTAGAGCTCAGATTTAAGAATATTACTTTGTTTCTACGTTAGCAGGGGAAAGGATTGGAACCAACCAAGAAGGAGTTGCAATGGAGAAAGCGTACCGCTGTCGGGGTCACTGTATCCAGCAGGGACGCCACCCGCAGCAGAAATTGCGAAGAGAGTGCTGAGTAGAATGAGAACCCCAGTTTACTTGCTAGACATCACAACGTTGTCGCAACTGCGGAAAGATTCACATCCCTCTATTTACAGCGGGGAGCACGCAGGAACAGATTGCAGCCACTGGTGCCTTCCCGGTTTGCCCGACACTTGGAACCAGCTTCTCTATGCAGCTTTCACCGTGTGAAGGTCGATCAAGTTCTTTTGCAGCCACAGGAACAGATTGCAGATAGAACTTCCTTCATTTCATTAACCACCTTAACGGCAATTCAAAGCAAGAAATGTAATGGCAACAAAGCAATTGTATAAAGTAATTGATGATTTTAGTTGTTGCAGTTTCACACAAATAGTATCAAATCCATAAGCAAAGAATGAGTTTCCAACAATATGTTGCAGACTGTTGAAATCAAGAAAATATAAAATTGAGTGCACAATCAAAGACGAATTAACCATGTAGTCTCGCAATATCCCCAAGGAAACTGAAACATCAATGCATGCATCAAGCTGAGACAACTGTATAGTTACAATCGAAGATGACTAAGCACCTAGCGAATACATGGTTTAGAACTGTTCAGCTGTCTCCGAGGAGGGGTGAATAATTCTCAAGGTTTACGAATATGAGGCAACAAAAATTAGTAGCCAACATAAACAGCAGCATTTACTATGTAACAGTCATCATTTTTGTCTCCCATTTCTTCCACATGCACACCGCTGGAGCATATTAAGCCACCATCAACGACATCAACATTCATAATCTTTCCACTGCAGTAAATCAAATGATGCAAGATTCAATACTCTTTTGAACAGGATAGTTTGAAGGCGTTCATTATCATAACTGGTTCCAAAAGTACTAAATCGAAGTAGCATTCCAACAGGAAAGCAAGCACTAGGCTAGTTAATTTTGATTTGATAATAAAATATGAAAATCAGAACAGAAAAAAAAAAGACTTCGAGCCAAATTAACGAAGTGTGTTAACTAAACTAACGATCAAGTTCTCCTTGGTTGTACACCCCACTCACTCTGGAGGTTGCAGCACAAGTAGCTGAGAAGAACTTGGAAAACGCTCGAAGGATATTGTGGTGGTTAGGGTAAAGCCACGGTAAATAACTCGAGACTTAAAATCCAGACGACAAAGAAAGGAGCATCAAGCATGATAGATTATCAGGGCAAGATGAAGTAACTGGACAATAATATTGCCTCTTTCAATGGAGAGATCAATCAGTGGGATAGGGTTTTGTGAACCACAAAAAAGATATTAATCACATGAACTAACAAAAATAAGGATAAAAGATTTTGTTCAGACTTCTTCCCGGGAAAGATGCTGATGAATGTAATTGCTTTTTGGTAATGGAAGTAAGAAGAGATGCATCTCAAATTAACTTATAATGAGGTGCAAGCTTGTCCCCCTCAAGTTTTGATAAGCAACGAATCAGAAATTGTAAAAGACATTGAACACTAACGAGCCTGACCTAATACTGAAGGTGCAGCTGATAGCGGCTGCATCCTATCGAAGAAAAGGTGGGGTAAGAGCCGAGCTTCAATAGAAAACTTAAAATTTAATTTTCCTTTTAAAGGCAAACTCACAGAAAAATGATTGGAAATAAAAGAACTTAAGAAAAATATAAAAGAAAAATGATGGAAAATTATTAATATGGTAAAATTCAAGTAATTTAGTCATTAACCCTCCATTTTTGTTAAACCCTGAGTTTAGTGAGATAGAGGGAGATAACCGCCTCTCCGGCCACGAAGAATCCGGTTCCGGCCGAGCCTTCTTCGTGAAATCTTCACAGAACTTAGAGGAGAACATTCTTAACTTTCAGATCGTCCAAAACCATCTATAAACGAGGAAAAATTTAAAGGTAAAGTTCTTGAATCTAGATTTTCGGATTTCCTTCCATCTGTGAGATATAGTGAGAGTTAGAAGCTGAAATTTGAGTACGTTAATCTACAGAAGATTACGCTCAAAACCTTGAAGGAAGTTGGAATCGATTCAGATCTGGGAGTTTTGGCGTTCTTGAATCTAGAAAAACTTCGCGTCAGGCAGGATTCGAAGGTCGGCGGCTCGCTACCCGAGTCCGCGACCCGATTACCCGCGCGCAACCCGGCTTTGCGTTGCCACGCGTCAGCGTAAAAGAATTCGGATTTCCAGCGCGTCCTTCCGGTTTCGAACCGAACAACCTCGACCTCGTATGACCGTTCACCGGGCGCCACGTGGCAACACCTCAGCGCGCGTCTTCTCTCCCTCACGCGCGTCCGTACGCACGCGTGCAACATCTTCCCAGGCGCGTGTACGCGCGTGAGGTTCTGTTTTCAGCCCGTTCTACTTCTGTTTTCCCGAATTTCCTCCGGATTACAACTCCAACCCTATTTTTATATGAAATAGGACTTAAATAGAGAAAATCAGTATTTGTAGACACGCTATTGGTGTAGAAGTGCTAAACGAAGAACAAGCGTTAATCAAGTAAGTCACCACACGGAACTTTAGGAAGAAATACTTGTAAGAGTAGCTTGGTTATGCATGCTAGTTTAATTACCTTAGGTGGTAGCTTTCCATGATTGAATGTAAGTAATTTGATTGTTAAGAGTATGGATGTATTATGTAAAATATTATGAGAATTATCTGAGTATTGCTATTATGTTTTAAGCTTCCGCTTTACATGTATATGTTTAATTCATGCTGAAAGGAAAATGGAAAATGGAAACTTGTGAACTCTGCGCTCCGGGAGTTGATGGATGTTATTACTCCGTTGAGCATGTATGTTTACTTTGCATGAATTTTGTATGATAATGCTGGATGATAGATGTGTGCACACTCAGTTAATTTCCATGATCCACATTTATGATAAAGTCTAGGGATTTTTGGTTAGAGCGACGAGTCATTAAGCATAGACCTAACCTTCCCTAGGAGCATAAGAAACTACCACGGTAAACATACTACCTCTAGAGTACCCTTAGGTTACTTGCGTTTGATTGGTGCTAATGTCTTCGTGGGAAACCAGGGGTTCATAATCAGGACTCGACTGCTCTAAAGTCGTTTTAGCATGGGAAACGGGAGACCACGTTGCAAGGAACCATTTAGCTGGATGGGAATGGGGGAGGTAGCCCTCCCCGAACAAAGGGGGATTACCATGGGACTAGGGGGTTGCAGCTCACCTCCTAGGTAAGCCACCAGGTAGTCTCATAGCCATGTCGAGGTAGCTACTCGCAGCGCACAAGTTAAACACATGTTGGCATAAGGGAACTCTTTGGGTTTAAATGAAAGGACGAATAACCAAAGAAGCCCAAGGGGCCTGCCCCAAGGAGTTAAGACCTGAACTAGATGCCCTAGAGCCAAAGAATAAGATCGTGGAAGTTTGTCAAAATTTGGATGCGATCAAAGCCTACAAGTAGGTGGCTTACTGAGTATAATTTTTATACTCATTCCTTTCTACTCTTTTTTTTTCAGGTACCGGTCGAGGTGGAGGAGCGTTCGAGAGATGTGTGGTCACAGAGGGGGTCATTCTAGAGCGTTAGTCCTTTGTCGGTCTTTTAGAGTCTTTTGTATTTCCTTTTATATTTGTAATTCCTCTTCTAATAATTTGGAAACAAATCTTCTTTCTCTCTTGTTTTAATTAAATGGTATTCTTATCTTTTTACTTTGCTTTTCTTTTCTTTTCTTTTATTTTATTTTTGTTTGTTTTCGATTTCGTCCTTTGGTTCACGGTCCAGTTTTCGAAGTCTCGAAAGTCGGGTCTTGACAAAAGGTGTAGCTGTTAACAAAAAAAAATGCTCTACGCGTCTGTTAGGGAAATTTTTCCGGTAGCTGTTAACAAGAAAAAATGTTCTACGCGTCTGTTAGGGAAATATTTCCACACCTTATAAGGAATGTTTCATTCTTCTCTTTAACCGATGTAGGATCTCAAAATCCACCCCCTTGGGGGTCTAGCGTCCTCGTAGGCACACCGCAGTATTTAGCTTTGATATCATTTGTAACAAGTTAAGTTCACCGCTAGCAGATAGCAGATATTGTTCTCTTTGGGCTTGCAATTTCGGAGATATTGTTCTCTTTGGGCTTTCAATTTCGGATTTCTTCTCAAGATTTTTAAAACGCATCCAAGGATTGTTGAAGAGAGTGTGGAACTCCAAGCTTGATCTGTAGTTTCATCTCTCCAAATGTGACTCCAGGAATTGAACCTGCACAACACATCGTCATTAGTCCTAATTGTAGTATTAACATAATGAAAGCAGTAACAATTTTCAACATAGACTTAATTTGCAGAAGCCAAAGTAGCCATAAAAATGAGACTCTGAATTCTAAAATAAACCCAGAACAGTGATTAATCACGATTATTCTACCCAAATAAAAACGCGATACATTATATACCTGTATGAAAGTAATTTATAGTAGGTAGAGTGCACTGCTTCAAGCATTATGAACAAAAATAAGCAGAAAGAACAGGAATAGCCTATTAGGGAAAGACTCCGTGGCTTGAAATCTAAGATAAATTTACGCTACCAAGAAGGAGGAGCTAAATCCAGAAGCTCATATCTCCTGTCAAATATGATTAATTATGCAGATAACAAATAGCGCAGGGATATAAAACCCACTGGGACATACCTCTACGGAATGCTGGAATCGAATTGGAAGATATGGCATCCCTGCAGGCTCGCATTGCAGCCGCCGTGATATCTTGGCTGTGACAAAAGAGAATTCACTCGTGAATCTCATTGTTTTTCAACAGAAAACGAGCTTGTAATTGTATCCTGAAATTAACACTTGTAAATAAGAAAAGAGCTGAAAATTCACCCATGTTGATCGTAGCCAACACCCATCTCGACGAATAAGAGCTTCATCGGAGCTGTGCTGCCAACAGGCGCAGATTTTCCACCCTGCTCGACCTCCATTGACGACGCAGCAGTAACCTTGACAAGGCGAGAAATTCGAGGGCGTGTAGGAGAGCAAATCAAATGCGCAGATGATGAAGAATGTTGATTAGAAAGAGGGTAAGAACGAAACCTAAGATCAGTTACCCGCGGGAATTGTAGATTTAGGACTATGGAGCCTGTCATCTGTGTTGCTAAATGCCTAGAAGAAACTGCGAATCCAATCCATGTCCATATTTGGGAAGGGAACGGGACTGTGAAGGTAATTCAGTCTTATTTAGAAGTAATTCTATTTCAGCTGACAACTTTATTTAAATCTATGAACAAATAAACCTTTTTTTTTTCAGGTCCCTGCATTCGTATTTAAGGAAACCTCTTTTTAAGACTCTTATATGATAATAAGTAATGGGTCAATAGACTTAGAGTTGTTTATAAATGGTATCAAAACCCGACATTGGACACTGCTCCATCACAGATAATATCGGCTAGTAATAAGCTTGGGCTGTTACAAATGATATTAAAATCAAAATCTGACATTAAACAGTGGTTCAACGTAGACAATATCTACTAGCAAGAGCCGCTACAAATGGTAACGAAACTCGACATTGGGCTGTGGTCCAAAGTTGTAAAAATAGCCCTCAAAATGTTTTTTTTTTTTTTTTTTTTTTTTTTTTTTTTTTTTTGTCTTTAAAAAAACTATGATTTTTTAAAATCATAACTTTAAAAAGAGTCCAAAAATACTTACTAGGTTGTTTTCAAATGGGTCCTTTTGTCCAATACGAAAACGTAAAGGAGCCCTTTTTACAATAACCCTATTTATAAGGAGGAAAAGGTTGCAAGAGTTCATTTCCTTACTTTCCAATATGATATCGCCTCAGTTCATTTCCTTTCAAATGAATAAATTGGAATGCAATCCTAAGATAGCCGCTGGCATTAATATTCACAGACATGATAGCAATCTATCTATACAACCCAAAAACCAGAGACCTCTGAAGCTGAGATTGCGGCAGTTTAACAAGTTGTAGCTCTGCTACACCCCACGTACTTGTGTTGCTGGTTTTGGCATTCTACATGACATGAACTTGCCTTATCTCTCATCTCTTGAAACGCCTTCATCGTTTCTACATCAAACCCTCCAGCAAACTGCACATAACAAGTTGAAGAACTTTACCACACGATCATGGAGGTCCAATAACCACTTATGTCAATAAGAGGGGGTCCCCTCAACATTACCTGATGCACACGGAAGGCAAATCTAACGCCCTGGACAATCAGCTCTTCTTCTTCAGGTCCACCACCACCGACTGTTTCAAGCTCTGCGGATACCCTTTTCATGTACTTCAATGCTAATTTTATACAGACAAGCTTGATCTGTGACATTAATTGAAGCACACAATTGACTCGGATCAGAAACGTATCAACCAAGTAACTATTACTTCGCGAACATATTAAACAACACCCAACTTGACGCCTAGGGGACCATGCCATATTATGAAGACAAAACGATTTGTCCTTTTTAAATAATGCATTGCTTGAGAGATGGGATTCTGGAGCTTTCAAGAGTTAAATTGAGTTATGAAGTGAATGAATATATATACTAACAAACAAATCCCAGTGTGATCATTCGGAAGAAGGTTATAAAAAAGAAACGAATTTGCATACAGCAAAACGTGCAGAATCTGATTCTCTTGTTAGCCCATAATTTAAAAAGAACTATAAAGCAGACAAGAAGATGTAGTTTAGAAATCTGGGAATTCCCATGTGCGCGTGCAGGCAAGGGGCAGAGGAAAATAAGGCAAAATCAAAACATCCTTTTTGTCATCTTCTTAACCATTCTCCATTGTTGTGTTACATTGTTATGTAGACTTTGTCAGACTTATTTCCCTGTCTCTCCAGAACGGATCCATTAAAAGGGACCACCTGGGAGACACCTAAATGGAACAACTTAATTATTTTAATAATCGCTGCAGTTCAAGTCAAGGAAATTATTATTAAATCAGCAGTCATCTCTTCTTGGATACCTTCCACCACCCGCCGAACTAACCTAGAATTTAGCTATATTTGTTAAATTGGACAGAGATGGAACTTACCTGACTCACAATTCCAGTATCAAGCATCCACTCCACTGGAATTTGAAATGCTTTGTATCTCTTCGTTGCAGATTCACGCAGTCTAGACAAATTGTATATACCATGCTCCAACCTGATGCACCAAGAACAGAAACAAAGAAATGAAGCTCAAAACAAAGGACAAAATCGATTAAATGTAGGCTTTGGTAAAATCTCGAATACTTTTCAAGCAAAGCTTGCATCTTCTTGAGAGCCGAAGCGCAGGGCTGGCGGGCATCACCACGAAACGAAGAGGCTTCGGATTCCAGCTTCTTAAAATCGCAATATCCAAATGCAGCCTCACGCAGAGCGTCGGCCTTTTGCTCTGGCCATTGAAAGTGTTTAAGCACGGCTCTTTCATCTACCAGGTATGAGAGCTCATCATCCAACCATTTGACAAATGGAACAACGTCCTCAATGTTAGTAAATGAAGCATTTTCAACTTTTTTTATCAAGAACCTTATGAAATCCCCTTGAGTCTCTACATCCGTCTTTATCTGCAAGTAACATGGGAGATTAATCATGAAAATCATAATTAATCAAAATCCCATGAGATTAATAATTAAAGTAACTTTTCCTTGATGTTGGATTTGATATTTAAGCAGTCAGTTCATCATCAAGAGGTTGATATTTTCTCAAAATCAATACATCAAAGAAAATCTAATCTCTATGATTACCTGTTATTATTATTTTCCAAAAAAAAAAAAAACAAGAGATGGAAGAGGAAGGGTAAATTTGAATTAATCAATTTCCAGGAGGCCACGAATTGAGTAAACATTTCAACTTGAAATGACAAAAATGCAAAAATCTTGAGGGAAAGAGAGAGAAAAGAAAGGATATGCAAAAAGACAGTAATATTCCGATTTTGACAATAAAAATCCAAAGAAAACAAATAGGGGCACATAATAAAAACAATTGAAAACCAGTCAACTCCCACTGACAAAAAGCTCCGCCTAGTGACATTATTGTAAATTACATAACTGAGAAAATTTAAGATACAGAGTGTACTTGACCGGTGACTTACAGCGAGTAAGTGAGCGGACCGGTTCTCTATCTCTCCGATCATGTCACGAGCTTTGGCGGTCGACGGCGGGTCCATGACGCCGGAGCCGAGATCTCGCCGTGAATCTCTCCGCATTAACGAATGATAAAACTCAACAACCTCCGGTACTCGTCTTACCTTCGCCGGCATCGGCTTTTTACCTTTGGGAGGCGGTGGAGGGGGAGGGGGAGGCGGTGCCGACTTCGAAGGCGGCAGCATTTGCTTGGTTGGGACAGGGGGTGGGGCTGGGATCGCTTTCTCTACATCACCAGAAGAGCCAGTTGATGAGGAGGAGGAAGTAGTGGCAAACGAATAGGGAGATGAAGAAGGTTTCGGAGGTTTTGGAACCCTAGGTATTCGCGATTTTACGTTACATAGAGTGGATTCTGCGGGTTCTTCCGAGTCACATCGCGAGTGTCTCGGTCCCTCAGTTACAACTTCGTCATTCTTTGCCTCTGGCTGTTCAACCTTATGATTGTGTTGGTTAACAACAGCATCCGGACATCTGGTCGCTCTTTTCAAATTCCTGATTAGGTTAGACTTTTCAGAGACCTCCATTAATCCCTGAAACCTCTGAGACGCCGAAAGTTCGTCGTTCTCCAAAATAAGCTCCATTCTACTTCGATCCAACGCCATTTTCTTCAGCTCCGTGATTTCACCTTCCATTGCCTTTATTCTCTCTTGGCCCTCTCTCCTCTGCTCCTCAAAACTCTGTGTAACTTCCTCCATTTCAACTCTCAATCGCTCATTCTCCGCCTCCAAAAACAGTATTCGCTTAGACGCTCTTTCAACCTCTGCATCTTTCGTAGAGATCTCGTTCTCAAGCATAGGAACAATGGCGACAGATTCCTTTAACAGCTTGTGCTCCAATAGGTCAGTCTTCAATCGTGCCTCTCTGTCACGCAACTCCTCGACCATACGGAGAAGCTCCGTCACGTCAGGCGGTCGAGGCTGAACCTGAGCAGAAGAGCGAGGGAAATATACACCAAACGAGCGGGAGAAGACGGTTTTCTGAGAAACCTTACCAGAGCTTGGAGAAGCCTGAGCTGGCGTCGACGGCTTCGGTGTGCTTTCGGCCTTTCTACTCGCCGGAGACTTCTGCAGCCCCATTGCGAACTTCACCTTCCCAGCTACCATGTCTAAGCTCTCGCTCTCTCTCTCTCTCTCTCTCTCCCTCTGCTTCAGGGCAAGATGGACCGAGTTTTTATTGTTTTATCTTAAATTTTGTATTTTGTATCCATTAGCTCTGTTTTTTTATATAAATTATTAAAATATTTTATTGTCAAAATTAAATTCAAACAAAAAGGTAAATACTAATTTTAAATTTTATTGTAAATACAAAATTAAATTATGAAATGAGACTTAAAATGGTATTTAAACAAAAAAACACTTATTATTATTTTATAAAATAAATCATTTAAAATTAATGAATATGTCAAAAAGTATTTACTTCCATGTCAAATAGTATATAAAAATATGTTATGGATTCCAACCGTTAATTTTATATTTAAAAAAAGTTTATTAATGAACCGAGTAAAAAGTCAATGAAACGTATATTATAAAAATCCAATAAATTTGAAAAAGTTGCGACTCAAGCACATTGATTAAGGCATAATAAACATTGAATCTCCTAACAACATTAAACCAGAAAGAAAGAAGAAGTTTGTTGTGTTGTTTTTGTCTGTTAAGTATCGCTGTCAGTCTCACAGTTTTAAAATGTCTTGGTTATAAAAGGTTTTTACTCTTATAAGAAATGCTTCTTTCCACTCTACAACCGATGTGAAAGGAGAACAAAACATTTTTTAGAAGGATGTTGAAACTTCTCCCAAGACGCGTTAAAACTACGAGGCTTACGATGATACGTAATGGGTCAAAACATACAATATCTATTAACAGTGACCTTAAACTTTTACGATAGTTCTCATTCCAACGTTCGAAAGCTATCTACCACTGCACATTTAAACCCATAGTCTATAATTAAATAAACAAGGAAAGAACACTCCTTTCCTGTTTTTCATGGGCTTTTTGTTCAACGTACAACACTTTGCTTTGCTTGGGTTTAATATTTGTAGGCTTTCGATTATACTATTTTCGGCGGTAAATAAAGAGGGATGGTTCATCTTGGAAGTAAAGCCTTGCCATGTTTCGATAATTGAGTGCAAAAGTTAGGACTTACAAGGTTAATAATAATAATAATAATAAATGAATGTGAGAGAAGGGTTTAGGGTATCATGTGAGAGTAGGTAGCATGAAAAGGAATGCCACGAAGATACAATTAATATCCCTCCCTCGTCTCATCACTCTATGTATAATAATGTAATCTACACTTGGCAAAAGAGAGACTTTGAGCTCGGAAGTGGTCCTTCTTCTATAATTTGCCAACAAAGCAAACACCTCGATTCTTTTTTGTCTAGTCTCTAGTAGTGTTTGACGAAATATCTTGTAATATTTTATCGATGGGTCTTAATAAAAAATGCGAGGGTGTTTTCCACAAAAAGATGTGTTCAACACCATCTTCCTTTAGAACGTCTTAATCTTTCTTTATTGAAAGATAATAGTAATTGACAAGGGACATCGTCACATAAATAAGTCAACATCCTCACCTAAGGTTGAAAATAAAATTAAGAGTATGGACAAATTTTAATAGAAATATATAATGCCAAAAAGCAGATATGAAAGAATATTTTTAATGATATTTTTCTTTTCATTTTATATTTGTACATACAGGATATGGAAGGAATTTAGTGTTCAAAGGCCGGCCCATTAGTTTATGTTTAATTCAAAATCGACCCAGCCCATTTATTGGGCTAATCGGGCCATTTGGGTCCATATGACTTAACTCAAGTATATGGATAATTATTGTTTTTTTTCGTATTATATTTTTATGTTATATAAAATACATAATTTAATAAATTTTAAAGTTTTATATAAAACTTTTAAATGTGTTAAAAATTAAAATATCAAATTAACACTTTAAATAGTTGTGCCCTTAGCATTTGCATAACTCGATTGCACGCTTTCGATTAGCTAACGATATGGATTTAATTATCCTTATGGGTGAAGAGGTAGGCTATCAAGGCCTCTGTGATCACTCAAAGGGGTTGCGCACAACGACCTTGAGCCATTAGGTTTGGGTCCTGCCTTCTTTTCCTAGGGCTTATTTCGTTAGACAAACTGGATTTGAGCCATTGTTGACCTGTTCCATCTTGGGCCAAAATGTTTTCCAGACCGAATTAACTAAATTCACCTATAAAAGCAACCATAACATATAGAATGCTTTTTTTTTTTTTTTTTCTCATAATAAATTAAGAAGTTATATTTTTAGCGTTAAAAAACATAATTTTTACTATAAATCAAATTTCATTTTTTCCCAAAAGAATATAAAAAATTCCATAACAGAGTGTTGTATATTCAAATTTTTTAAAATTCTCAAATAAATAAATATAAAATTAAAAGTTTAGAATTATGTTTTATATTGAAATTTAAATTTAAAACTAATAAATTAATGTTTTGGCTAGAAAAGGAAAGAGCAGACCAGAGAAGATTACAATGATTGGAGACATTTAATGGGCCCAAACAACTGATAGGCCTCCGGAGCCCCTTCAAATCCACCTCCGACCCTACTTGATTCTCTAGGGACAATAATGTCAACAAATTTCTTTTATATTATATGCACATTTTTTAAATTTTAAATTTTTAAATTTTCATAAATTTGACGTCTTTCCATTTATATATATATATATATATATAAGAAATTGAATTCAGCAATACAATATAAGATAAACAAGTCTGTATCAAACCATCCCTATCTTTTAAATTAATTGTTTAAGATTAATTATATTCACCCTACTTTCTTGCATACTTTGCCAACTATATTATTTTTTATTCTAATAATTTAATGAGTTATTGAATTGTTCACAACCACCACATGCCAACCTGTTCAATTATATTTTTTTTACTTTAATGTCATTTCAAGGTACTAACGATAATATTTTTTTCTCCAATAATTTAATGAGTAGTTGAGATATTGAGACAAAATAGGCAAAAATTTAAAAGAAAGTCAAAAATAGGCATAGGATTGGAATCATTATCATTAAAGTTAAATAATATAAATTTGAAATTATAAATATGGATAAAATTAAAATAAAAACCAAAGTATTACATTATGTGTCAGTTTTGAAATTTAATGCGCATGCGTAATATAGTGTGAATTGGGTAGCCAGCTATCATACATGCTGTGTGAATTGGTAACCGGTCACATTCAGTTTGCAAACGGATAGACAACCGGTTGAATGGACAAGCGTAGAGAAAGGCGACCCCTTGCCTCAACTAACATTTATATATATATAATGTCAGATTGAGTTGTGAAAGATCCAACTACCAAATTCGTCTTTCTACCACTTCCCGTCTACGAATCTGAATCAGAGCTATCCATGGGTTCTTCCAATTCTTCCCCCGTCTTATCACTGAATCGGTTATTCATTATACTTGTTCTGCCATTGCTGACCTTCGCTCCACCTCCTGTTTTGGGATGCTTCACTTCCATCTTCAACTTCGGAGATTCTCTTTCCGACACCGGAAACCTCTTCGGCAAATGTGTCTCCGAGGAACCTCCCCACTCTTGCTTTCCTCCATATGGAGACGCCTTCTTCCACCACCCCACCGGCCGCTTCTCCAATGGCCGTCTCATTATCGACTTCATCGGTTTGGTTTGCTTTGCTTTTCTTGACCCACGACACTCTGTTTTGCTCTATTTTGCTCTTGTAAAATGATGAAAGCCTTCCTTGGCTAATTTAGAGAATGATTATGAGTTTATAAACCAAGAATACTCTCTCCATTGGTAGGAAAGCCTAAAGCAAAGCCATGAGCGCTTATGCTCAAAGTAGACAATATCATATCATTGTGGAGGACTAAGACTCCAAAGGAGTCGAGCCTCGATTAAGGGTGAGTTTATAAACAAAGAATACTCTCTCTATTGGTACGAGGCCTTTTGGGAACCTCAAAGCAAAGTCATGAGGGTTTATGCTCAAAGTGGACAATATCATACCATTGTGGAAGACTAAGACTTCTAGCCATGAGAGCTTTATGCTCAAAGTGGACAATATCATACCATTGTTGTGCAGGACTAAGACTCCATAGGAGTCAAGCCTCGATTAAGGGTGAGTTTATAAACAAAGAATACTCTCTCCATTAGTACTAGACATTTTGAGGATGCCCAAAGCAAAGACATGAGAGCATTTTGAGGAAGCCCAAAGCAAAGACATGAGAGCTTATGCTCAAAGTGGACAATATCATACCATTGTGGAGAACTAAGACTTCTAGCCATGAGAGCTTTATGCTCAAAGTGGACAATATCATACCATTGTTGTGGAGGACTAAGACTCCATAGGAGTCGAGCCTCGATTAAGGGTGGGTTTATAAACAAAGAATACTCTCTGCATTAGTACTAGGCATTTTGGGAAGTCCAAAGCAAAGACATGAGAGCTTATGCTCAAAGTGGACAATATCATACCATTATGGAGGACTAAGACTCCATAGGAGTCGAGCCTCGATTAAGGTTGAGTTTATAAACAAATAATACTCTCTCCATTGGTACGAGACCTTTTGGGGAAGCACAAAGCAAAGATATGAGAGCTTATGCTCAAAGTGGACAATATCATAACATTGTGGAGAGTCGTATTAATTTAACCGCTCCGTTTTGCTCTATTTCCTATCTGTTAGGATTATTCTAATGGATGTATGTATGTTTTTGTTCAGCCCAATCACTGGGGCTTCCATTGCTACCGCCGTATCTGAGTGTGGGAAGACGGAGGATTAATATCGAGGATTTCGAGAAGGGATTGAATTTCGCAGTTGCGGGAGCAACGGCGCTGGATGAGGCGGTTCTCCGAGAGAAGGGGATTACTAATTTATCCACGAATTACTCTCTTGGGGTTCAACTGGAATGGTTCAAAAACACATATTCTTCCGTCTGCAAATCCTCTTCTACTGCAACGGCAAGTAGGTTCCCCTCGTTTATTGCAGCTATCCCACGAACAATCGAGTAAAATCTCGCTAATATCATCTTGATTTACAGAGTGCAGAGCGATCCTCAAAAGCTCGCTAATTGTGGTGGGAGAAATAGGAGGCAATGATTACAATTATGCATTCATCGACGAACGCCAAAACATTGAAGAAATTAAGTCATTAGTGCCACCAGTGGTTAAAGCAATTGGTTCAGCAATCACCGTATGACCCTTTCTCCTTTCTAATTTGTAGCCATTAATTCTAAAGAAACCTAAAACCTTTCGTTTAATTTACAACAGGAGTTGATTAAGCTTGGAGCTCAAACTCTAATGGTTCCTGGTAACCTTCCAATTGGTTGCAATCCTACTTATCTCAAAGTTTATGGAACTTCAGTCCAGAACCCAGAGAATGGTTGCGTAAATTGGCTCAATGAATTTTCTCAGTACCACAATGAACAGCTCCTAGAAGAATTGAAACAAATCCGAGCTCTTTATCCTCATATCCGTATCATATATGCAGATTATTACAATTCTGCCATGCTTTTCTATGATGCCCCACGAGATTTTGGTATGCATTTTGTCTTACTTTTCTCGATATTATCTTCTTTGGCTTTTCCTTCAAGTTTCTTCTCAATATTTTGAAATCCTTATATTAAGGAGAGATTTTTCACACCATTATAAGAAATGTTCTGTTCATTTCTTCACCCATGTGAGATCTTATAATCTACCTCTTTGAGAGCCAGCATCCTCGCTGGCACACCACGCTTTGATACCATTTATAACAGCCCAAACTCACCGCTCCCCTCAAGGTTTTAAGACATGTCTACTACGGAGAGAGTTAATATGTAATGGGCTAAAACGAACATTATCTACTAGCCGTGGACTTTGACAGTTACAAATGGTATCAGAGCAAACATTGAGCAGTGTGCCAGCGAGGATGTTGAACTCACAAGGGGTAGATTGTGAGCTCCCATATTGGTTAGAGAGGGGAATGAAGCATTCCTTATAAGGGTGTGGAAACCTCTCTCTCTAACATGTCGTTTTGTGTCAATAATATTATTTACGGACATTGAGTGTGTAAGTTTATAATGCAGGATTGACAAATACTCTACAGATTTGTTTGGTGAATGAGGAGGAAACATTGAACACAGATAGAAAGTATGGATATTCATCGCTGTGTGATAATCCTTCAGAATATGTTAGTTGGGATGGCATGCACTTAACAGAAGCAGCATACAAAGTAATAGCCATTGCTTGGTTGGAAGGCCCATACACAACTCCTCGAATTAAAACCTCTTGCATTTCACAGAATGTCACAACTACCTTCATTCAATCGCAATAATAATATCCAACCATTCACAGCACAACCAACGAGCAGAGCAGAGCAGGCTCTGCTGTTTTTATTCTCTTTGTTCACTATTTGATGTTACTCTAACGGTAGAGTTACTGAGGATTTGGAGGGCGGCTGTTGGCAGAGGCCACACGAGACCCCCATTCCAGCAGCTCTTTGCTTGTGTCATCTTTGTGTACTAAAACTTCAATGAAACATAATGACTCTTTGTGTTCATCGCTCACGGTTGCGATTGCTTCTATTAGTTCTTGCTCTGTTCGTACCTGTAAGGGTCGAGGGAATGTCGAATCAGCACGATGAGGTATGTTAAGAATTTAGGAGCGAGTTAGAACTTTGAGCTAACCTTGGTAGTCCAGCATTTTCCTTCACCATTGTGGATGGCATCAACAAGTCCAGTATAATTCCAGTTCTTGATAACATTGTATGGACCATCATGAATCTCCACTTCTATGGTATATCCACCATTGTTGATGAGGAAGATAATGGTCCGTTGTCCACATCTAATCATTGTTGAAATATCTTGAGCCGTAACCTGAAAGCCAATGTTTAAGCCTGTTAAGTTCCCAAGTAAATGATGTTGATAGACGTAACTGCTCAAGCCCACCACAAGTACATATTGTCCCCCTTTATCCCGTTACGACATGGGATCTCACACATAGAGTTCAAAACAAGAATTCATGAATTCCATTCGAGTTCTTGATATTGAGTTATACAAATCAAGCAAGCCAATCAGAGTAAGCACAAACCTGGAAACTCCCATCACCAATACAGGCGATTATACGCTTATCTTTAGTGGCCTGAGCATATCCCAAAGTGGCACCAACTGACCATCCAATAGATCCATATTGCATTTGGAATTCATAGCTGAACAGATCAACACAAAAAGGGTTACACCTCTGTAAATGAAAAGGCTCCGGAAACAAAAACAACAGCCAAGCCTCACCCGCAATTTTCAGGAAGACGAAGCTTCTGACAGTTGAACCATGAATCACCAGTTTCAGCTATTACCGCAGTGTCACCGGACAACATTTGCTATTGGGAAGTTAAAAACAAAACCCATCATTAAGAAATTGGAAACTATATCCTCTGAACATTCGAAGTTTTAAATTTGATTCTATGGCTAACCTGAATATGTTTGAAGAGAACATTGACTCGTAAAGGTTCGTCTTTTGCGTAGGTGAGAGGCATGCCGGGAGGGATATATATTCGGTGATAATTCTCTAGAGCAGTGGGGTTTTTCTTCAATCTTTTGGCCAATGCAGTTAGAAAATCAGCCATGAAAACCCAGCCGAAGGATGGCCCATTGCCGACGGTCACACGGTTCACATTCACAATCACAGCCTTCTCCTTTTTGACAAGTAATGAGTACCCAACAGAGCTGTAATCATTGAAAATAGGACCAACGAAGACATAAGCATCAGCTGATTCAACTATCTCCCCACAGAAGCTGGAGCTCACAGCACCCCAGTACGTCCCTATGAACTGTGGATGGTGCTCCGGCACCATCCCTTTCCCGGATGGCATAACGGCGATCGGATATCCACTCGCATCGGCGAGCTCGAGGAAGGCCCGTTGTGCCTTTGCTGCTCTTAGCTTGGGACCTCCCACAATCACTGGCTTCACTGCATTGTTGAGAAAATTTGCAGTTGCTTCAACTGCTGCTTCCAACCCCCATTGGTTGCTTATTCTGAAACCAGTGGCGAATCCAGAATTTTATGTTAGATGCCACAATAAGCTTCAATTCAAACAATGTTAATGATAAAAAAGGAATTGGAAGATGATTGAAGAAGAATTATCATACTTCGGAGCAAGAATGAAGGGAACAGGATCTCTAGCAAAAGTAGGATGAGGGATTCCAGGAAGATTGCAACTTATACTGATATAAACTGGTTTGCTCTCCTTTAAAGCTGTTGAAATCGCAGTGTCTATCAACTCGTGCGCATCATCCAAATCATTCACAATCGCCTGCCACATTATTACCACTTTATAAACCGAACTAAACCAAATGGCAAAAAAACATGAAATACTCTCTTTTTGTCGAGTTTAATGCCTGAATTGACACTTATTCAGCTTCCTTAGTAAAACCCATTAACAGATTTCCATTAAAATCCTTAAATCTGGGAGTTACCTGGTAACAGGTGACTGTTTGAAAGCATCGAAGCTCTTGGGTGAAATCAGGAAGCCCAATTGTATGATGCAAGATCCTGTTAGTGCCATAATCGTTGGAATTCGGACCTCCCACGATGCAAATCACTGGCAAATTCTCACTGTAAGCACCAGCAATAGCGTTCAACACGCTTAGCCCACCGACGGTGAAAGTGACCACACAAGCACCCACGCCCTTAGCTCGAGCATAGCCGTCGGCGGCGTAGCCGGCGTTGAGCTCGTTGCAGCAGCCGATCAAGTTGAGTCCAGGCTCGGAGACGAAGTGATCCAAAAGGGTCAAATTGAAATCCCCAGGAACAGAGAACACGTCACTGACTCCAATCTCAACGAGCCGCCGAGCGAGGTGACTGCCGAGCGTGCCGCTTGAGACATTGGGAGCCGCCGGCACTGGAACTGAAGTGGGATGAACCGCAGAGCCAATTGAATTAGCAGCGTCCATGTGAAAGGAAAGTCAAGTTACAAGATCTGATTTGAGGTTTCTATTTATGGGTTTTGGTTTCTTACTACAGGATTATTGGAAAATGATGAAAGCTTGGAACTTGAGAGGAGGTTAAGAGGTTACTATTTGTGGGTTTTGGTGTTCTTAATATAGGATTATTGAAGAGTCAGGAAAGCCTGAAACTTGAGATGGGTTTGTGATACCATGGGCGCAGGAGTGGTGGTTAAATTCTAAAGTGGAACTCTCCATTTGCCGCCGCTTAAGAAAAAGCCAGCCCTTTTCAATCGGTGGATTCTTTTCATTATGTTCCATCCATGACCAGTTGTTTGTCAGCACCGTGGTTTTGGTTTCAGCACTATACCGTGGTTTTGGTTTCAGCACTATACCGTGGTTTTGGTTTAAAATATTCGGACTTTCCGGACAGAAACACTGCACCGGATAACTCCTTGAGGTATCATATTTTAATGGGAGGTATTTCTGCTGTATTATTGTTGACTGTTGTCGTGGTCACGAGGGTTGACCTCTTTTTCAAATCTGATACCGAATGCGATGCCGCTGTTTATGACGAGCATTCTACAGAATTTCTTCCCTGTTCCCATCTTCGGAATTAGATTATTCTATTAGTTATTGCAATTGAAAGCTTCCATCAGCGCATACGTTTGGATCATGTCATCTCAACTTCAACTATTTTTGTGCTTTTTTCAAAAGAATGAAGCTTCTCGATGCTGAGAAGTGGAGATGGGTATTTATATATACATTGTTTCGGCCATCGATGAGCCATCAAAATAAATAGCTTTCCGGAATTGGGCCATTAATTGTGCAGAGTAAAAGGAGAAGTCGATGATGTTGATGGGATTTTTCTTTTGGAGTTTTGGGTGAGAATCTTTTGAACAGGAATATTTATATATATATATATATAAATATATAAATAAATAAATATACGGTAGTTGCACAGTTTTGTAAAGTTTATAATTGAAAGGGTATTTAGTTATCTCGTGGGATATTGAATTTCTGTTAAGTTTCGGCCTGTTTCTGTGCAAATAACCCATTTGAAAGATGAGACCAAGGATTTATCTTTTCGGCGATTCCATTACAGAATTTTCCTTTGCTGATGGCGGCTGGGGAGCCGCTTTAGCCAATCACTTCTCTCGCAGGGTATCGCCTGTTTTCTTTTCACTGTTTACCTTGAGCCGCTATAAAAATCATTCCCATCTTTCTTTTCATCATTATTGTTCGTTTCTGATTCTGAATCTGTGGGATTTTGGGTGCTTTTCTTTTGTTTTGAATATGATAAGGCCGATGTGGTGGTTAGAGGCTACAGTGGGTACAATACGAGATGGGCACTTAAGGTGATTGAACATGTTTTCCCGGCATCAGAAGAACATGGCGGCGCCGGCGATCCGCTTGCCTTGACGGTGTTCTTTGGAGCTAATGACGCTTGCCTTCCAGATAGATATGGTGCCTTCCAACACGTGCCTCTCGATGAATACAAGCAAAACCTTATTTCAATCGTCTCCTTTCTCAAGGTAATCTCTTGCTCCACCCGTCTGCTATGTTCTTTATCTGGTACATTCTCCATTGATTTAGCCAAGGTTCTGTTGAAAAGCAATAAGCTCTCCGGTTCACCCCCAACGTTTTGGATTTATTTTAGTTTGAACATTGGTTAGATGTGGAGAAGATGTTAGATGCATGAGGCATGAATGATAATGTCTTTATCAGTATGAAACTTTTCTGGTGGATTCTAAAAGTAAAACAATTTGAGCTTAGGTCTGAATGGTTCAATGGATAGTATCTTTGAGATCTCACATCTCACAAACACTGGCGATGTACCAGCAAAGACGCTGGCCCCAAGAAGGGTGGATTGGGAGATCCCCATCCGTTGGAGAGGGGAATGAAACATTTCTTATAAGGGTGTGAAAACCTCTCCCTTATAAGGGTGTGAAAACCAACCTCTCTCCAACAGACGAGACCAGTTTGAAAAAAACCTTGAGAAAGCCACAATGGTGGACTTGGACTCTTACCGTAAAGACTAAGTGAAATATGTGCGATGTCCTAATGCAATAAGGAAAATTAGCAGCTTTTTGACTCATAGTTTTTGGGGAAGACACCCTTTTGGGTGACATGAATAGTGATCCATTTTGATGCGTTGGATCCTCTTACTGTAGTTTTGAATGCTTGGCAAGAAAAGTTCAAGAGAAAAGCTACTTCACCTTTATTCAAAATTTCAGTGAGAACTTTTTTCCTTCTTTACATGTTGTCTTCACAAACAAAATAAAAACACAATGATCTAATCTATTCAACTTCTCTTTCTACCAATTCAAACAGAGTCTGAATTTTCTTCCATTTGATTTGCAGAAGCAATGGCCTGCAACTCGTATTCTGCTGATCACCCCTCCACCTATTGATGAAGAAGGGCGTTTACAGTATGCTTATCTCTCCTATTACCTTTGGTTGTTGAGAGATCTGAAGTCTCAAGTTTTTAAATAACACTTCTGATAATGGGAAATGATAACGGTGTCTGCAGAAACCCTTACATTGTAAATCCATTAAATGAGCCTGAGAGGACTAACAATGCAGCTGGTGATTATGCCAAGGCTTGCATTGCTGTTGCTGCAGAATGTGGGGTTTCTGTGATTGATATTTGGACTAAGATGCAGCAACTTCCTGGCTGGGAAAAGGCTTGTTTGAGGTATTTATGTGTTCACTCCTATGTTTGCGCAGATATCTTTTAGATTAGTAATTGGCTTGGATCATCTGCTGCCATCATTACTATATTATTTGTAAGTTTTCTTGAACTCTGATTAGAATTAGATGTTATAGATTGCTTAATCTTACGCTGCCCTTTTCCCCTTCCCTTTGGCAGACAGTTGGGCTCTGTCGAAATTTATCTTTCCCAACATTTTTCTCTGTATGCTGTGACATATCAAGCACTAGATCGAAAAGCTTCTGTAGCTATTATTTAGATAGCTAAAACCAAACAAAAATGGGGCCATTTGGTGTAACAAAGGCATAGTTAGAGAGGACTACTTGTAACTGCCCAAGCTCATTGCTAGCAAACATTGTCATTTTTGGGTTTTCTCTTTCAGACTTCCCCTCAAGGTTTTAAAACGCGTCTACTAAGGAGAAGTTTCCACACCCTTATAAAAAAATGCTTTGTTACCCCTTTCCAATCGACGTGGGATCGCACAATTCACTCCCTTCGGGGCCCAGTGTCCTCGCTAACACACCGCTCGGTGTCTGGCTCTGATTTCATTTGTAGCAGCTCAAGCCCACCGCTAACAAATATTGTCCTTTTTAGACTTTTCCATCAAAGTTTTAAAATGTGTCTGCTAGAATGTTTCGTTCCCCTCTCCAATCGATGTGGGTTCTTATACTACTATTCCAGTATCTCTGCTCTACTTTTCAATGAGCTACTTTAAATTATTTAGGTTCCGCGCGATAACCATTTGATTTGCTTTGTCCTTCACTTTCCTTGAACATGTTTACCAAATGGGAGGCTATGTTAAGAGAGACAGCAGGGCTTCTCTGTGCTTATATTTAAAAGTATCTAAAAGCCTATAGCACATCTATTGTCCATGCTTCTGCTTAAGGTGCTGTTTGGGTGTCTTTTCTCTAGACATTTAGAAGCTGCTTTATGAGATCATGTTTGTCCTGAATGTGCATTTATGTATACTACTCCTTGCTCTGTAAGAACTGAGCCTGATCTCTGTCCATTGGGTTGCAGTGATGGGTTGCACCTGAGTCGAAATGGCAACACGATCGTGTTCGAGGAGGTTGTGCAGAAGCTGAAAGAAGAAGGATTGAGTCCAGAAATGCTGCCTGCTGATCTTCCACTTCTCTCAGAAATAGACTATAATGATCCTCTCAAAGCCTTTGAAGAATTACGATAATCTTCAATGGTGCAGCTCTCAGCCATAGCCGCCTGGTCATGTTAATCGGTGAGATTTAAGAATGTGACTGCAACTTATTCTCATCCTATAAATGATTTATATTGTTTAGAATAATAATGATTTCTATTAGGAGTTGGATTTTATTTTATTTTTTCACAACTGCATTATGTACATTTATGGGATTGTATGCATGCAATGAGATCAAATTAAAGTTATGGATAATTGGTTTCATCATTTTTTTTTCAAAATTGGAGTTCAACCACTCTAAAAAAAAAAACAAAAACTCATCTAACAAAAATCCCTCATGAAAAATACAATGTAAAAGTGTTAAGGAAGACCCCTTTGACATGTATTAATCCTCGTTCATCTCGTAATTTGATGTGATCCCGAACTTCGAATCTCTTCCTAGACCAAGAATGTCTCATATATCCTCAATACTAAGTAAAAATTGTGTCAAAAACTTTTTCCCCAAAATTAAATGGATATTTTTTTTATAGGAATCCTAATCACATTAAGACGTTAAAAGCAATGCCTCAATATTATCTAAAGAAAATTACCTAATTTGACTGCGAAATAAGTTATTAATGATACTTCAATTTTTGTAGTGTTTAGACGTTATAAGTAGTGTCTAATAGTCACCGTTGTAACATTCAAATAATATGAAAGTTGGGTAAATTGAAGAATACACGTTACGTATTTGTATTTTGAGACTAATTACAAGTTAACAATTATATTTAAAAGTAAAAAAATGAAAAATCTAAATGATGTAAAGTCTTCATTATAACCTTTTAATAAAAAAAAAGTATAGTTTGGTCAAATTGAACCTTATATAACAATCGAGGCCAAGATCATATAAGTCCAAAAGCTAACTGAATGAAAATTTAATCTGGGCTTAAGGCCCATTGATCCGAATCCCCACGATACTCATGAAAAGTTTCATAAAAGCTTCCAAAGTAAAGGATTGTCGAGCATATTCTTATATCTAAACGAGTATCATTTAGTCAGAAACACACAAAATTATTCACCCTGATTGCTACCCGTCTCAGAATTCTGTAAAATCACAAAATTTTAGTGTTGATCTTCTACATCAAACGGTCACAACAGAATTTGAAGCTGATCGACAAACTGATTAAACCACAGGTAGAAGGATTCTGAAGATTAATGGTGGCGGGGATCAGGGCCTCCCGGTGACAGGCGCGCCACCCCACGTTGATGAATGCTTCCTGAGCCTTCGACGGCAACCAGCCCAATGTGAAAGTTCTCTTTGGAACCCAACAGCGCTGGCCGATATGTCTTAGCCGGAACGTTTGGTTCCGAGATAAAGCCAACAAGTCGTCGAGAATCAGCCCCTGCAAAACATTTCGAGACCAACAAGATCAGGCAGACCCACAAGCTAAGATTGGCCATTGCTAAATATCAGTTTGTAGCGATGTGTTAAGTAATCTTGGGTATGGCAGGTTTTTATACTCGCCAAAACCATCTTTTTTTAATCTGATTTGTCCTTACTGGATTTATTGGCTCAACTTAAAGAATCCATAACTTGCCCTCTTACAGTACGTTAACATGGTAGCCGTCGGCGCCAGTTAATCAAAAATTTTGAAAGTCCTAAAACCTGTAATGTGTGTTGATCAGTACTTGACTCAGCAAACAAAGGAAATGTAATTCTACTTGGGATTAGTTGGGCAACCAACGAATAACTCGAAGTGAAGCCTAACAAAAACAAAAAAGGTCTACACAAGAACACATCCTAATTAATTATATAAAGTCTCCAACACTTCATTGTCATTATTTTTTAAAGAAGAGGCCTTTGGATACGCATGACAACTCAATCCTAAAAATTAAATGGAAAAATAAAAACTTCAAAGTTTATAAATTTTCTCAATAGAAAACAAACTAGAGGAGCAACTGTCGGTCAGCCCCGTCTCTCCATCCAGTTCACCAAGCTTCTTTACTCATTCCTAAAATTAAAATATTCTTAGTACACTGTAAGTAATTTCATATTAACAATCACTTGTGGTGGGCTTTTATTTTTAATTTTTTAATTTTTTTAATTTTTTAATTTTTTAATTTTTTAATTTCCTTTAGTTGGGGATTTAAAGCTTTAACCTTTTGCTCAAAATTATAATGCCATAATTAACTAATTAATCATGCTCAAATCGCTAACTTTTAAATAACAAAATTAAATAAACACAAGTTACAAAGTTAAAAAAACCAGAAATATAATGTAACATGTATTAAAACAACTAATACTGTAATTAAATATGAATAGAAATAAACCACTAACCAGTAACTAGACGTGCTAGAACTTTTCTCCTCGATCCTTGTTAGGGATGATTGTTTTTGTTATTCTCTAATGAGCACATGGTATTTTCAAGAGGTAGTGGATTTGTGATACTGCAATTCAGATCTTCATTTACAAATACTTCGAGAAAGTTGGTGCATGCACTTTGGCAGCTATTTCCACTGCTCAAATATTATCCATATTTAAGGTAAAAAAAAAGGCTAAATCATTCGTTTAGTTCTTTAAGACAAGAAGGGCAAGCCTGGACTAGAACTAACCATGAAAGAGAAGAGACAAGGGGAATCATATGATTGGAAAGAAACTGTGGTAAATGAAAACTTCCGAAACTTCTGAAATCAGCTAGTATCCATTCTCCGCTTAATGTAAGGAACACTATTTTGTTTTCACTAAAAATATTTGCAATTTTACCCTCCTTAACTGAATTTGCCTTACAGCCTACCATGACCTAATATTCTGCAATAAAGGGTTCCAAGGCATTGATAATACTCTAGAGGCTGAACCTAATTGGCAACTGGAAGTTTGTGATGATAAAATAAGGCTCCAAGTAACAATTCAATGCCGTATATAAAGCACCTGGACCATAAACTGCCATAAAATTTTCAGCTAATCCTCGAGGCACTGCCAGAGGATTTGAGGCCCACAGAAGAGGAATCATAAAAAACAAGAATATAATTGTTTTATCTATTCCTTCTTTTTAAGATCACCATGGCGCTTGGTCTTACCCATCTCTTTTCTCTTAATTGGTTGTGCGTGTTTATTAGTTATCTATTGACGATGCCCCAAGAATAAACAATGCGGAAGTTTAGATTTTCTGTTATGAAGCTACTCTGGATTTTAATTTATATAAAATCAGATCCAATATACCACAGAGAGATTTCATTTGAATAAATAAATGCATCCCAAAGAGAAATCCAATGTCATGCTCTTACATAGGTTGTTATTGGGTTGGGATACGTAGATGATAAAGTATTGAGTGATAATTGGATTTGTCTACCTGGCTAGCCAAAGTTGTAAAGATTGTCTTCATCCCTCCGATTTGTTATTCATATGATCCATATTTTCTTTTCAGTTGACAAATGGTCTGCCGAACTACTTTCTTCTTCTACTCCTACTGATCTAGGATAGAATCTCAATTTAATCCAACTTATCAACGCAGAGAACTAATAGAAATTAAATACATCTTAGTGCGAGTTCGGCATTTCTATATTTGTCATTAGGTTCAGACTTTTTCGATGGTGACTTGCATTTACACCAAAAAACAAATTTGTCTTATTATTCCTTATGGCCACGTTTTGATATCGTATACATGTCAGATTTTGGGAGGGCAGTCAAAAGAGTTGGAAGGTTTGAAGAGGAAAAGGAATGTAGACATTGGATGAGGTTTAAGAAGAAGCGGCCACAAAGCCATTGCTCCAGTCTGACGAGTCCTAATACCAATCTTCCATAATATAAATTATCTTTTTCCAAAAATAAAAGAAGTTAATGCTAGAAATGGCAATTCGGCAACTGACAAGTTGGCCACCGCAACAAATTGACCCAAATGACGAAATGGAGTTTATTTTAGGTGCATTCCTATTTCAGCAAGTCATTTTCCTCTTTTCATTACTGAACTGGAAGTGCCATTTTGGTTTCTAGTTTCGTCCCTAGTGAATGAAGGTGAGCTACTGAGCTGGTTCCAAACACGTCTCTGCTGCTTTGAGCTAATCTGAATGCATTTTAAAAATGATCATGATAAAAATACCCGCTTTAAACGCCTACCCAAATCCACTCTTTATCAAGTTAATCTGTATCGTCCAAATGTCTGTTGAATCAATTTTCTTCAGTCTATTATCAGAAAAATAAGATCTACCTATATACCAAGTTTTCGATCCTGATTTGCAGTGCAATCTGCGGTTCGAGGAGCAGACAAGCAAAAGATAAAATGTTGCCAGCTGCGTAGTAACCAAAGTTTTCTCTCCACATTTTTATGTGTGTAGACACTATTCTTTGTGCTAGAAAACCATATTTCATCAGTCTATCGCTTAGGAAAATGAGAACGCACCATTCCTGATGTACTTCTCTAGTTTTTCCATTTACTTCTGACAATGCAAAAAATGTACGAACTCTGTACCTAAAGAACCCAATAAAATGTCCATAGGGTCTCGAAGTGGTTAGATATATGCGTACCTGTAAATTGAATAAGACTCAAGCTGCTTTTTTCTGAAGCTCCTTGGACAACAGTTTGGCAGCAAATTTCTGAAGCTTCATAATGTCCGAACTTGTGAAGGAATGGGGCTTCAAATGAGGGAACGAGAAAAGAAAAACCCAAAGAAAATAAAATGAAAATGCAATGGAAGGATATTTTCTCCTCATAGATGGGATGATTGAGCAGGAGCAGATTATTGTTGTTAACAATAGCTCGGACTAATATTTCTTTGGCCTCTTCTTGCTTCTTTCTCAGCATATTACAGATCTGGTAAGAAAATAAAACTAACAGATTCGTGAGGCATCTGTATCAGGTTTCTCTTAAAAGTGTAATGATTGTATTTGCAACATTACTGAAAGCATTTAAATTTCTGATCATATCCCCTTTAAAGGATGTTTTGAAGTTTATATTTTGTCACTTGATTAGTGGTTATTGTATGTCTCTAGCTCCTTTTTCCAAATGAAAAGAATCAGAAAGTTACTGTTCAATCTGATAAAAGACAAAATAATCTACAGTTACTTACATCTTCCAGCTGCTGTGAATAGGCTTCTGCTTTTTCAACATTTCGATCATTTTCCAAAACCAAAGATATTTCCAATTCCATCGTCTTTGGCACGCGAGGATTTTCAATATTGGAACCTAATTGGTCATGGGAA